AACCATAGAATCAATAGAAAATAGGAATCAATCGATTTTATGAAACGGACACGCTAAGGAAACAATTTATTTTTAAAGACAAATCAAACGAACATGCATAAACGCAACAAAGAACGAATTCATGGGCATGAAACCAAAGCAGCGAAGAAATTTGTACAGATGTCTTCGTTTTCTGTAGCAGGGCGGCGGCTGGGGGATCGAGCTCCCGAAGGATGGAGCGGAAACCGAACTCGTCGATAGCCTTGGACGCAGGACGCTGCCAACCACGTGTGGTGTCGAATTGGGGTTCGTCGTCTTCATTTGTTGTCCACTGAGATGTTTCCCTACCGCTAAATGCACCCCGGTTTGCCATCAAGATCATGAAGCATAGTTTTTTTACAATCGAGCGTCAACGAGGAGCTCGCCGGCAGTCTGCAGTGGCAGCTGGAAGAACGTGGTTGCAAGCGCGCGCTGCGCCACGAACAGCGATGAGGCCGCTCCACCGGAGCACCCCCGCGGCCTGCATGCGCCGCACGGCAGAGCGTGTGGGCAGTGTAAGTGCTGTGCTCACCGGATGTGCTTCGCATGCTAGAAACTGCTAGATAAAACCCGCTCAAGAGTGATCGCATCAGACGTGCCCCTTTCAGAATTGCCCTGGCAATGCCTTTGGCTCAAGATACCGGGTCAAAACAATTGCTCCGTCGAAGCTGTGTGTAGCTGTCCGTGCTTGAGCTGTGGCTCGAAGTGCCAGACGATGCGACATCAGAGCGCATTGACATCAAAGATCTGCCAGAGACTGGTTCTGAATATGAAGGTTGGCGCTTCAGTTTGAAAAGTCAAATCTTGCGTGTAGCGCCGGACCCAGTTGCTGCCATGGTGTACATCAATGAGCTTGATGATGAATCTGTTTCCTTTGGCAATTTGGCGTGCAGATTGTCCGTAGACATAAACAAAACAGATGTGAATTTCTGCGCAGCAGTGGTTGCCGCATATCCAAAGGGCAAGAAAAAACCAGAGATCCTCAAACTTATACAATCGCGCGCGCAGTTTGGTTGTGGTCGTCAGGCTGTCCGTATCGTTGACCAGCGGCATTTGCATGAGTCAACACATGTAGCCACAGAGGCTAACACCAAGATCCAAGAGCTCAGTTGTTTTGGGTTGTCGAGCTTGACAGCTACATGGCATCTTTTTCGTTGTACCGCTACCAAATGGGTTCCGGCGAGCATAAGCTCACCAAAGCTAGGGGCATGCGCTTTTCAAGCACAAGCTTAAGGATATCAAGGAATTGGGTGCCACCTTCGCCGTTTTCAATGCCAGCAATACTGTGGATTTAGACGCGGATGCGTCCATCGACACATTCACACGGAAGTACATGGACGAGATTGGTGTGCTTGCAGACTTCCACGATACGACACACCGGCGGTGATGTCCCAAGCATGAGCGAAACAAGTTTATTTTGCATCAAATTGCGGGGACGTATGCGTATGTGGGGGCCGGATTGGGGATAGCCAGGAAAAGTCGTCCTGAGATCTCATACGCTGTCGGATGGTTGGGTCGGTACACCACGAAGTGTGCGAAAACACAGGATGCGGCTTTGCATCGTTTGATGGGATATTTAGCGGCGACTCGATCCTGTGCACTTCGTTTGGTTCTCAATCCTGTTGATGTGCAGCAACGCACTCTAAGACTAGGTTGCGTTGGGCACGTTTGCCCGCACTTTCTTCTGTTCGTTTGGGGGGGTGGAGGGTGGGTGGGGGGGGGATGATAACGTTCATGATTGAAGCCCTGCAGATGAAGATGATGATGCAGCTTCGTCATCGTGGCCATGCTGCTGATCTGCTGCTGATGATGATGCTCATGATGATGAATATGATTATGATGATTATGACTCTGACGATTATGATGACGATGATGTTGCTGACTGCAAGCCCTACATCGTAAAATCATGGTCTTCAGCCTGTGACCTTCAGCTCAAGAACCATTCGTTTTCTAGAGCATTCTGATACCGTCTGCACATGTGTATCACAGTGACACAGTGCTCTCAACGTGGTCGCTCGGCAGCTGTTTTATTCTCTTCAACGATGCCGAACTACTTCACGAGTCCTTTTCTTCCTGTGGCCCTCTCGGCCATTTTGTCTTTGCGGCGATGCCACGTGCCACTTCCCGCTGCTTTGCATGGCACTGGGTTCTGCACCTTTTCTGATGTGATCACATTGATGCTTTGGCTATGTTCGCACTCAATGGAGAGCCGGGCTTGCAAAGCGTGATCGATGCGGTCGTTGCCTACGGAGTGTTCTGTGAAGACAAAGTGTCCCCTGCCGTGGCCTGGACAGACACGTCCTGGTTTGGCCTGGCACCGTGACGGCAATGAGAGCACAAAATAAGTGTTTCCGTCCCGCGCAATTGCTCGAAGCATTCCCGTTTCCAAACTAAGAACTCCAAAGTTCGACTTCCCAAACCGACACTCCCATATAGGTTGAAACAATATCACATCGCAACAGTGTGTCCTGTCCTGCAGTATATTCCCTGTCTTGTTGAATCTCAAATTCATCGTGGATGCCAGCGTTTTCGTATGTTCCTACCAAACATCATGACACCCGAGAATCACCTTGCAAGCAACAACATTCTTCAAGCATCCCGTCCGCACCACAAAGTGCGGGGCAAACGTGCCCAACGCGTCCTGGGACTAGTATTGTGGGTCGACTTTGATTGGGCGACAGATCCAGACACAAGGCGATCAACGTCAGGAGCTGTTTTGCAACTTGTTGGGTCGCACGGCACTCGCGCAACATTTGCTTGGCGATCGCATCGACAAGGTGCAACCGCATTTTCGGCACCAGATGCCAAAGTGACTGCCATGGCTGAAGGTCTCAAGCGCCACGGGATCTATGCACAAGATCTTTTCGAATTTTTGTTGGGATACCGGGTTCCATTAGACATCATGACCGACTCAGCAACAGGCATTGCAGCAATCGATGATGCGTATGGTGTCCTCAAATACATGAAGCAAATGCAAGTGTCCTTTGTCATGGTTGCATGATGTCGGCATTGATCCCAACAACAACATCAAGAAAACCAGCACCGACGACAACCTCGCGGATGTCATGACGAAAGTATTGGAGAAGAACAAGTTCCAACATTTCTCATGGCTTTTGGGAGTTCACCCGCATGGTTGAGATTTGCATGCCTCGACTTTCTCAGCATGGTTGAGCAAGTGACTGACCGTGGATTATTCATGTTCATGATCATGCGCATGTATTGCTTGATTTTCCGCATGATCTTGCTGCTAGTTTCTTGGTTTTCGGCAAATGCACGAAACTTGATGATGTTCTTGGCCGCTGTTGCTCTGTGAAAACCAGTTCGTGAGCGGTAACCTGCCGATGTACTGCCTGAGCACCGCTCCCACACACAGACTCACACGGCATTGTCTCGTGCTCATGCTCCACACCCATCCGGATCCACCCGTCCATGGACCGAAGCAAACGTCGCAGCACAATGCCCAGCACAATACCCAACTTTTGTAATTGCTCCTGCATCAGCGCAAAAGGTGTGCCACCGCGATACTGCAGTCGGCCTCACAGTGAATACAGTAATTAACGTCGAATAGCTTCAATCGGAATTTGATGGATACATGTTAGTCTGTCGACAGTTTGCGCTGGAGGTCATACACAGGCCGTGTATGGACCCACGGTTAAGCGGGGCTTGTTTGTCTGCGATGCGATGCCGTCGCCGCTGAACCGCACCGCACAGCGGATGAAATCGGTGGTGCAGCCGTATAAGCAGACATAGTTTACCCCGAACTCTCGTGTTGCGGACAATAGCGTTTCCTCGTGCCGGGCATATGATATGCGCAGGGCACTTCGTTTCATGGGCGATCTCGCTTGATACAGAAAGAGCGACCCGTTGGGGCCAGGTGAGGACTGCATTATGGTGGATGCGAAAGCCCGTGTGACCGAAGCGCGTACTGCGCTAAAGGCGTTGGGCGACATGATATCAATCAAAAGCGCAGAGTGCTTGGCCTGGCGCGTCACCCATGGGTGCCGAGAGCGACGACCGCGCTCTGCAGGCTAAGCGTAGTTCCAATCCTGGTTGCAGACTCGGGTGAAAGAGTGGAGCATTCCGGTCGGGCGAGGCGAGGATGTGCACATCAATATGGCAACGCCTGTTCGCTTGTTCTTCCCAGCGCGGCAGTCTCGACCAACTCGGCGACCGCTTGTCACCTCTCGCGCCTTAAACTGCTGTGAGTCCGAGGTCAGCTGTAGTGGGGTAGCGGTGACAGTATGCGTGAAGCTTGGGTTCGATGACTGGTGCTGGATTGTTCCATCTCTCTGCTGTACGGTTGTACTTCGTATCTTGTGGATGTTAATCCCTTCGTGTCACGGGGCACACGCGGCTGCCTCGACTCGTTGCAGACCGCCTGTAGCGCATCTCCGTCACACAGTACTACACGTTGCCGTTGAGAGGCGACAGCGGCAGCGACCGCCGTGACTTCAGCATTTTGGCAACGCGGCAGTGGCGATCAAAGCATCGTTCGATGGCACTCACGCTCACTATATAGAGGGCAACACCGAGTAGCTCAGTGACGCGTGGATGGTCAGGATGTTGGACACGCGAAACCCAAGGAGGGTCACTTGGGCCAGGTGGTCGTGAAAGCAATTGTCTGCCAGTCTTGGACACCTGCCTTTACGCTAACCTCCACTGTTGTGACGCAGTGATACTCATTGAAAAACTGTTCTGGGCTCATGCATGGATCATCGGCTGACAGCCTTGGAACATAGCATCGAGTGGAGCACATATACTTGCGCTGCACTTACAGTAGCCATGGCATCCTCTCTGCACTAGCTGCGACCCCTCGATCTAGATCTGGCTGACATCTCCTTCCCCAAAGGCATGCAGCGACCCTAATTGACTTTTTGTCGGTGGCGACGCTGCCCCTTTTGGGGTGAAGCTACTCCGACAAACTAGAGACGTCGGGCATGCGCCGCATGCTCTGACACTGCACCACTCAGTCATCCTCCGCATCACCTCTCACGACCTGAGCGCCGGATTGTGAGAAGCTACTAAGTATCTGCCATCTGCCCCTGTCTCCGTCACGACGGTGCCTGCAGAGACTTGGAAGCATTCCTCCGCGTCCTCCTGAAAGTCTAAGAGCACTCAGAGCTCAGCCGAAGCCGTGACCGTCCGCGTCCCGGCCGTCCTCGTCCTCGTCTGCGGATTCGTCCTCATCCTCTGAGTCGCTCCGCTCGGAGTCGCTGCTGTCCTGCGAGTCACGCGAAGCACACATCCACCAAAGTCGCATGCAGACATCATGCTGCTACTCGTAGCAATCTACCCATGGCTCCGCAAACGCGGACTTTTGGGCTTCGAAGCGCCTCCGTCCCTGCGCAAGGCAACGGAAAATTGAAGCTCTGCGAGGATTGAGAGCAAACGGGGAATTTGGCTCTTCCAGCCTCGGGCCTGGCATGTGAAAGTCATTTCTCATCCCCGAGTGACCTTCCCTATCTTTAGAACCTTGCGAAGCCCTTCTTCTTGATTGCCTAAGCTCGAGGTCACAGGAGCATCGTAACAAACCACCGACAACCGGAAGATGCGCTTGCCGGCCTGATGCGGATGCTTTTGGCGCTGCTTCTGCTCAAGCACCTTTTTCCCGACACCTGGCATGCCAAGCAGCCCACACCAAATCCTGCTTCTACCACTGCAGGCCTCGCGGAGAGTTGCGCGGACCTGCGCATCAAGCCGAAGGGGCCGAAGGGGCCGAAGGGCCGAAGGGCACAGGGCAATGCACAACAGCTCACGCCAAGCCCGAGCCCAACAAGCTGAACCGCAACCATTCGCTTAGGCTCAAGTTGTATAGCATCCTTCGGTACTGATCCCTTCAGACACGTGCGCCTGTCAGTGACTCCGCAACCTCGGGAGAAAAGGGCATTATGCATGGCAACAAAGCCACCGACACGTCACCTGACAGCCTCCTTGCGACAGGGGCACTTCCTTCTTGAGTCGTCTGAACTCATCCAGGTTCATGAAGCCTGGCTGGGATTCCCACAACTGCCAGCGCCAGGCTTCTCTAGTTTCAGACCCGCGGACTTCTCAGCCATCGCTTCAAACAATCCGGAAAGGGGTTGCAGCAACATGGCCTGAAGGAGTGTCAGCATCACTTCTCGCCTGGAGGATGAGAGGTGAGGAGCTATAAATGCACAACCAGCTGTGGCATTGAAACGTCAAACAACGAACCGGAAGCACCTGGATCGGGGCACCGTCGGCGAAGCGAGACTGGCAGGACCACTTGTCGCCAAGAGGACACACGTGTTCGTGGATGTCCGGGACAAAGATCACTACGCGGCTACGCGATGCTACACATGTAAAACTGCCGGAGGCACCAGCGAGCAGCGCTGCTTGGCGCGATCCTCAGTGCAAAGTCGGGGTGGCCCCGAAGCCCCCAAATCCGAATCCTGGTGTATCTACGTGTGCTGAGCCATCTGCGGCGAAGGTGGTCTCAGTGCGTGCTTCGGCTCTGCTCTGCCTGGAAACAGCGGCAAAAACACGGCTACTGAAATCTCTGCTGCTATCACTGCCACTGCAAGTGCTATTGCTCCTGCTCCTGCTGGACTCCTGCCTGCTATTGCTCCTCCTGCTGCTCCGGCTGCTCCGGCTGCTGTTTCTGCGGCTAGTCACTACTGCTGCGACCGCAAATGCCACTGCAACCTCGGCTGCCGCCACAGCTGCTCCTCGCAGTCGACGGCTCTTGCTCCTCCTCCTGCCCTCTTCTGCTCGACCATGAAAGCAACTGATGGTTGATTGAACACCACGACAGTCGCTTCCAATTCAGATCGGCCGCTGAAGGTCCAGCCATTTCACCAGGGCCACATAGAACCTGCAGTGCTTGGTTCGGCGTCCGAGGCTGCGATACATCATTTTGTGTTTCCACCTGAACAAACCTTCCGGATATGTCATTTTTGGAACTTCCACGCAAGAGCTGGCGGTACCGAGCATGATGATACCAATACATTCGAACAGTTGCCAAAGGGAGGACAACTATGCTCAGCTGCAGTGGAGATGCTCGCTGAAGCGGACATCTGAGCGCTCCGGGAGATTGTCCAAGCCCAAGCCTTCACAGTAGTTGCAGGGGCCTCTTTGCACAACCGCTGTCGATTCGGGCCACGCACCTGTCATGCCCCTCCGCAAAAAGCGGCTCCGTGCGTGGTGACGCTTTCGGACGGCACTGATGTGCTGCTGCAGCAACATCACCTGAAAGTGCTGAACCATTCCCATTCCGGATCTGGTCCGACCTCGCTCGCATGGGATGCTTCGACCTCGTCATCAGTCACCCCGTCATACAAGTCCTCGACATGGAGCTCAAGAGCCACCAAGTGGTGTTTTGCAGCTCGACCTCTGCAAGTAAAAACTGAGGCCACCCCGAGTGTCCTGCACCAGGGACACGAAATCGGGACCTTGCACCTGGAGAGCGTTGCCGTTCGAGTGCACTCCTAGCCCAACGGATCCTGAATGATTCCTCAAGGATGCTTGGGGAAGCCACACGTTTTGCCTCTAAACTAGCATCACATGCCAATTCCTCCTGACTGGTCCGAGATGAGAGGGTTGTGACCAGACTGAAGCTGAACCGAGACGTCGACACTGATCCGGCCGGCCACCGCGTAGGTGCAAAACACGTCCCAGACCTGAGGCAACTTGAAATTGAGCTCGGCCGGGCCGGGCCGGCCCGCCACCAGACATCCCCCCGGCCTCCTCGACGTCCAGCACCGACCAGCCAGTCTGCCTCAAGTGCACAGGAACGCTCAGAGAGAGCTGAGAGAATATGCTGAGGTGTCCCCTGAGCCGCGAGCTTCGCCAGGTGCGCCAACCTGGGAGAGGCGCACGCTCGAGCCGCCGCGTGGGTGGAACCGCTCGTGCGCTCGCTGCGCTGAGCTGGGTGTCCCCCACACTTTCTCGTCGAGCTTTTCCGTTGGCTGAGGGGTTGTCTTAGCTCGGCACGGCATGCAGGCGCACGGTTCCGGGTAGCGTTTCTGCAGAACTTGCACTGGGGTCACCACCCGTGGATCGGACACGATGCCTCGTTGCACGGATGGCAAATGGCAAAAGCAGTCTCAGTGTGTATCTGCTCGCCAAGCTGCCAAAGGAGCGTCTTCGATTCGACTGCGCATCCGATTTTCGCTGACTGCGGCCCTGGGCTTGAGGCCGAGGACTGAAATCCTGGCTTTCACGAAGATAGGCCTTACGAAGCGCCGGCATCTTCACCACCAAGCCTCTGCCGTGTCCCAGTGCTCTGCACTTACATGGGGAGGCCACGAGTACTGGCCTTTCAGTTGGCCCAGCTGCTCTTCGACAACCTGGCCCAAGCAGAGTGTGCGAGGCAAAACACAGCCGGAAGGGCAGTCGGAATGCCTTGGCTTCTGCTGCGCGAACCATTTCCATCTCCTGGCTGTCGAGTGATCAGCTACGAACTGCGGGAAGACCTGAACCGAAGCCCAGATCTGGAAGAGAGGCTGCTTTCCGGAACCAGTGCACCCAAACTCCTACGAAGGAGAGCGGGCAGGAGAGAGACCCACGGCCTGAACGCAGACACAAGACGGTCTGTCCGAATGCCACTATCGAAACGGAAAAACCCAACGTCTCTCTGCCCAATATCTCAACAGATTCAACCAACGGGAGGCAGGGGGTCGGTCGGTCGGTCGGGTCATACGGCACAAGGATCGGCGGAGCGAACGACGCCAGAGGGGTCATATACTAGCCTAGCTACTTGATGGTGGCCGTCCAAAACTTCAGAAGCCTTATTCCTAATTTCACCGATCCACTCATGTCGCGGTCTCCCAACTCTTCTGACAAATCTGAAGGCTGCAGCATTCCAAGGATGAGGGCAGTTTGGTGCATCATATGGTCGCGTGGGCACCAGCAGGGTCCTCAGTCCAACCACCCGAAACCTGAAAGGGAAGGACCTGGAATCGTGGGCCCTACAGAAAAGCGTCGGCCCACCCCAAGTTGCCCAGGACAACAATCCAATGGACCGTTGACTCGGAAAGATCCCTTGGGGATCAGCGCGATTGGCCGGTTCCCATGTGCTTCTGCAGTGGGCTACTTACCCCTCTTTAGGTGCGAAGGGGGCAGCAACTCAGCAGCAGCAGCAGCAGCAGCAGCAGAGCAGCAGCAGCTCCGCAGCAAGCTGTCCTCCTCAGGATGAACAAAACCGCATTCGTCCCAAACCTTGGTTGTGTTTGCCGCGAAAGGCGAAGCGATTCTCGTATGCGTCCGGAGCAGCGGTCGCATGCATCTAAGGACTTGGCTGAGCGTGGGAAAGTTGTTGTCATAGTCTTCATCTGGGCAACCACCGGCACCAGCAGCAATGCTTCGACGTGAGCAGGCATGCCGTCTGGACAAGATCTCGATAAGTCCGGATGCAAGATGTTTGCACGGATGCAGCTCGGAAGCTAGTTGGGAGCAATGTGCGCAGAGAGTCAGAGAGAATGAGGGAGCGAGGGAGCGCGGGAGGGAAGCGAGCGAGCCCTTCGTGGGCATAGCTGCGGTTCCAGGTTCTAGGAACATCCGATCCCGCAGTTCGAAGGGAAGAATGAATTCAGCTATGCAGACAACTACTGGTAGGATTCGGGACGTAAGAAAACTGGAGTCATGAATCTTCTGATTGCGGATCAAAGGATCACGCGAGCATCGTTCTTAAATGGGGCTGTTGGCAAAAACTGACTGCCCCGAAGTGCTAAGCAAGCGGCCATGGCAGAAACCATCTCTCGAACTTGGCTGCGTTGATTCAGAAACCTCGGAAGGCAGTTCGAGGTCTCGCTTTTTAAGCTCCAGCCTTGGTGGGAGAAGTCTTTCGAGGTATAATACACTATAATATAATATAATGTACCATAATATACTACAATATACCATAAAAGGCTATCATATATTGTAATATACTGTAGTAGACTACAACATACTACCTGTAGAGCTCATGCTGAGCGGACTACCCCGCGCTTTTTCCTCGTGGTCTGTCGAAGTTGGAGATGCTGGAGGAAGCCTGAAGCCAGAGATGCAAAAAAAGCGGCTACAGTCCTTCGTGGCTGCCGACTGCGGCATAGACAACCTGCACACATTGACAAACAAACGCAATCCTGCAGTGGGCGCAAAGATTCACGGTACCCAGATTGGATTCGAACAGCAGGAATGCTCGCACACACACACACACATACCCAGTCTGAGCTGGTTGTCTCTTGTCATCATCTTTCTCTTCACGCTTCGAATTGTGTTTCGAAGTGTGCGCTCTTCGAGCAGGCATACGAAGCTTGCATGCAGAATCTCCGCAGAAAGTCTTCAGAAGCTCAGAATCTCCACAGAAAATCTTCAGAAGCTTGCATTCAGAATCTCCACAGAAAGTCTTCAGAAGAGATATGGTTGTTTTCAGCAGGTACGTTTTCACACTTACCATCTGAGGTCTTCGTTGGCCGCAGCGCCGATGGTAAGCCTGCGGCCCCCTGCATCCCCTGCATTCTCGTATATGCATTACAGAACTGTCGGAAAAGATGTCTTCCTTAGAAACAGGAATTCCACACACACCTACCCGGTCAGTGCCGGTTGGTAGTGTTTCACTCTCATAGGCTAAGTTCTAGACAAAAGTGATGTAACATCAACAACACAACAATAACGACGCGGTCGACGAAGAGAAACAGCAAACAGACGAACAACAACATCGACGACGACGAAGAAACGACGCAACAACCAACACCACAATAACTGTGGCTGCAACATCTACACGAACGACAAGGACGACGGGAACGAATAAAAGCAACACAGGAACACGACGACGACACGACTGAACGAAAAAACAATAATACCAACACAACAGGCCCGCTGCTTTCCGAGGAAAGCTTCGCTACCACAGGGGATTCATCATACTAGCAGCTTGGCGGTCTTCAATGAAAACATGATCTCCAACACCACCTTCAAGTGCCAAAGGAGGTAGTATTCAGAAGGCACAATAATGTAGCAGCTTGGAGGTCTGCAGCGAAATCTTCATCTCAAACACCATCTTCAAGTGCCAAAGGAGGCGGTCTTCAGGAGGCACATTAATGGATACATCATCTGGTAAAACACACATGAAGATAGTCCTTTCATCATAGCAGCTTGGCGGTCTTCAGCGAACACCCATCACCCAGGACACCATCCTTTGCGTCAACGGAGGAGGTATTCAGAAGACGCATTAGTAACAGACATCACCAACCTAAGCGCTCAAAACAACTATAGCATCGGCGGCATCATCCTACATGTGTGTCAGAGCTTTTCGGACGGCCTGATTCCGAATCTTGACACACCGCCTCTGCAATAGTTACATTACCAGGCCGCAAAGGTTCGGGACTGCAGGAATTCTCTAGAGGTGGACTTCAGAATAATCCGTAGAAAGTTAGGAGCGCATTCATTCTCAGGAGGTATTCATCACACAGAGGTTCTTCATCGTTCGGATGTTTTCATTTGTTTTCCGCGTTCGGATACGTTCATCAGCTGAGAGTGTTCACATCTCATCGTTCGGATATCTTCAGCGTCAGAAGTAGACTGAAGTCCACTATTCAGAGTGCAGAAAAGGGACTCAGGGTTTATTCATCATGCCCCCCGCAGACCGAGGGTCCGGCAGCGCTTTGGCAGAATTACTACCGGGAATCACACACATACCCAGTCTGAGCTGGTTGTCTCTTGTCATCATCTTTCTCTTCACGCTTCGAATTGTGTTTCGAAGTGTGCGCTCTTCGAGCAGGCATACGAAGCTTGCATGCAGAATCTCCGCAGAAAGTCTTCAGAAGCTCAGAATCTCCACAGAAAATCTTCAGAAGCTTGCATTCAGAATCTCCACAGAAAGTCTTCAGAAGAGATATGGTTGTTTTCAGCAGGTACGTTTTCACACTTACCATCGGAGGTCTTCGTTGGCCGCAGCGCCGATGGTAAGCCTGCGGCCCCCTGCATCCCCTGCATTCTCGTATATGCATTACAGAACTGTCGGAAAAGATGTCTTCCTTAGAAACAGGAATTCCACACACACACACACACAAACACAAGAAGCAGACTCCCGCGGCAGAAAGACCTGTGGCCCATCAGGGGTGCTAGGAACACGAAAAGACATGATGCTGTCAGGCAGTCGGTCATAAATCCGTTTTTCTAGGAGATGCTGCTTCGAAATCTGCGAGGAGATGTCGCCAAGGAGACGAAAGGTCTTGTCCCCTGTTGGGTTTAGATTGGCACCCATCAAGTCCAAATCGCACCATGAACACAAACGTTGTGTTGACATGGCGGAGCGGATTGACTGGGAAAGTCTAAGCCCTAAATGAAGATAAACGTCGGGAGGTTAAGGCCACCCTAACACCAAAAATGATGGAGACGCTGGAACGCACAACACCAAACAGAGGTGCTGGCTGGATACGGACCGATGAGGCCCTGAACTCCAAACCGAGATTCTGCTTACAAACCCTGACTGCTGACAGCCCTAACTCTATGGAGCCCAAATCGTTGAATCGCGGTGCCGGAATCTGCGTGTTTGAGATTCGGAATGAAACCAAGGTGGTTTCGACTGGGAAGGAGCGGTGCTTCAATTCGGCCCTGGTTATCGACTGCCGGCGGCACCTCCTCCAGAGCGAAGACTTTAAAGGCTTGAGGAATTTAAAATCCGAAATCCTTCCCACAGCGTCTGCGGCCCCGGCGCGGAACCAGCTCCTCAAGCACCGCAAAGGGCCGCAAACTGACTGAGACTGTTCAAAATACACAGAAAAATCATGCTGAATCGTGTCTTCTGCTGATATACTGCTCAACACAGCAAACGTCGTAGGTCTCCTGTCGTCCATGAAGGCAGAGTCTCGCGGGTCGATGGACCGTGACGGAAATTGGAGCGAGACGCCCTTAAGTTTTCCTGCCATCGCTGGCGCCGGCCAGATGTGGACAAAATGGGCATACCACATGTGGGTTGCCCGTATCTGATATTGGCGAGCCTGGACGCAAAGACTGCGACTTGGACTCTGCAGCGCCCTGCCTCAGTCGCTCGTGTAGACGGATAGTGCACTGCGCTAGAGAAGGTCTACCTTGCGGCGCTAGCGGCTGTTTAGGTCGCATCCGTGATTCTATCGTCGGATCCAATGGCCAGGTGGCAACTTCCTCAGGCTCTAATGGAGGACCAGGGAGGAAACCACATCTGTCGAGGTTCGGGGTAAGGCTCGTGCAATGCTCGCTTTGTGCGTCATTTCTGCCAGTTTGCCGTGTGGTGCAGCTACAGCAAGAGCGCAAGAGCGCAAGAGCTTGGGGTGTTCTCTGCGGAGGCGCCTTCTTCCAGCGTGGCGGGCAAGTCAGGCAAGGCCAGGTCCAACCTCGGCGTAGTATCGGGGAATTCGCCACTCAAGCATCAGGCAATGCTGCGTCCAGCAAGCTCAACACAAGTAGGGCTGTCACGAACCTGAGCTGGCCCTTGACAATGCAAACTCGAAAGGATCCGCCTCATGCAGTACTGTCAACCAGCGTCAGCACGGTAACCTGGCCCTCACAAGAATCCTGGGCAGGGTGCGAGGGCCTCGTGCTCTTCGGGTCCTTGCCGGCTGGATGCTTGCCTTGCTTTCTTTCAATTTTCCCGTCCGGTCCTTGATCAAGCCGTATTGTAGTCTCTTTGTCGTGCTTGCGTGGCTCCTGCACCTGTCAAAGTGGGGCCGGAGGATGACGGAGAAGCAGACAGCTCAGACCAAGCCGGAGAAGCCACCCACTGTGAGGCTTGTGAATTCGGCCAAGTTGCATCCAGGCTGATACTGCATTCTACTATTTGCTTAAGAAACCCCCAAAAAATAAAAATAATAATCCCTATATTACCCCCATAAGGAATATATTTTTTATTTTTTGGTGGTTCTTAAGCAAATAGTAGCATTGGTTTCAGAACAGGGTCTGTGTTTTTCGCAGCAGCGCTGGAACAGCTTGATCAAAAAGCTCCAAACAGTGCTGGAGTGGCGAGTCGGGGAGCGCGGGCGCGGCGAGCTTTGCAAGGCTTGGGTTTGTTCGGGCTGCGCGGCAGCAGGTTGACCTCACATCATGAGAGGCTCGTCACGCCCTTCGAAGCCAGAGTGCAGCCTAGCGGCGAGTTGCAGTGGGGCAGCTTGCTGCCTGGTCCTCAGCGCTGAGGCCTGGCGCCACACTTGCGGCTCACTGCCCGAGCCGAAACTGAAAATTTGTCTCCCAATGAAGGGGAGTGACCTTCTTTGGGCGCAAGCTGCGAAGCCAAGGCATGTAACCTGGACCTGCATGGTCTTGACATGTCTTCACCAGCGCGAACACACCAGCGAAACAAGGCAGCCTCCTGGCTCGAGGAAAGTGCTCGATCCGTGGACATCCAGGCTCTGCCGGCCAGGTTCGACGAGAAGTTCCTTAGCAAACCCGCTCAAGCGTGGCTGTGACGTAGCGTGCTACGAGCTCAAGCTCCGGGCATAGTGCCGCGATTCTTTGCGGACCTTGCCGGCAGGCTGAATCTGTTGCACTGGAGCTTAAAGACTGGAAGCTCAGCCCACAACCCTTGTCTTGCCATCCGGCGACAGGTGTCCACCCTTGGGTGCCTGCCCCGACCCGTGCACTAACAGCTCCGGTCTGGAAAAGCTGGCTCGAAATTCTCGACACTTGGCTCAGTAGGTCGGCGACCAAGCGTCTAAGCTGCAGAAGCACAAGCGGCTGCCTGCCAACCGATGCTCTGCTATGTCTCGATGTACGGATCAAGGTAAGCCATCATGCACGCCTCACGGTGCTGGAGCACACGGTGACGATACTGCCTGCCCATCTTTCCGACATGCATGCCGGCATCACAAGATTCTTCCGTACTGCACACCTCCACCTTCCAAGCCGCCACGTTCGTCGTCCACGCTTACCAGTTGTGAAAGACTACCTGGCTCACGATTCACGAGGGTAACTCAGAGCCCCCTGGCGAATGATGTTCGTTTCGCAGATCTGCTTCTCCTCTCCCGTTCTACAGTGCTGTGACCCGTCCGCAACTCCCTCAAGCCTTCAGCTAGATCCGGATCTCGGACCTGCGTGCTGCACCTGGACATCCCAGCACACAGCCCACAGACTCAGCGCTCCAACACGTTTAGAGTCCAAAGCTGCCTTTACTGGCCGGGAGCTTATGCTTGAATCTTCATCATCAAATGACCACGGCCTAAACCCCCCAACCCTTAAACCCTAAACCGTAAGACAAAGACCTTTCCTCTCACCTTCCTCTCCTCTTCCTCTTCCCTCTCCTCTTCCTCTCCTCTTCCTCTCCTCCTCCTCCTCTCTTCTCCGTTAGGCCCCAAACCTCAACCGTAAACTCAGAAATCCACCCTCATTTCAAACTCATCGATTCCAAATAACAGCTTTGCCATGAAAGCCACACTTTTCTTCGTACACTCCCCCAAGAACCTCCTCTCCCCTACACCCTAAACCCTGACCCGCCCTGAACCCTAAACCCGTAACCTTGACATGCATAGGTTTTACCAGGGTTTCACTAGGAATCCGAATAAACTATGGCTACGTTCTTTTACCTAAAGCCTAAAACCATGAAGCGCATATTAGAGAGTGCAATGCGCCAGTTAGAGAGGCCAGGTCCTGTTTTCAAGGCCCCTCGGTTGCTGTTCTAGATTCTAGTGTTGCAGGCCTCCCCCCATTTCCTGAAACAGTTTAGACTGAGCCAGTTCCTGGAACACAGTTTCCTGTTACAACCCCTGAGTTCAGGTCACGGCGTTTACTCCAATTCACCAGTTCCAGGTCCTCTCAGCCGTAGCGGCAGCACTAATTCCTCAAGGCCACCAAGAAACAAACACGACCTTTGCAAGACCGTCCGCTTCCTCTTAAGGTCTCTGAAGCTCACCTCTTCTAGACCCGCATCCTCCAAAAAGGTGGACCTAATGTGTAACCGAAGCTACTCGCATCATTGTGCAGGTTAGCTCTTGCTACCTCTCAGATTAAGCTTTGCTCGAAGATGGCATTACCTTCATGGGCGCTTGACAGTCACCCAACCACTGGCCTCCTTGCAACACCATGTAGCTATGCAAGCATCTCATGACATGTGTGACTCAATCACGGCCCTTCTCTGCCCGGGCACGTGGAGAGGTCGTGAATCAGTCGGTCTCTCCCACATGGGTCACATCCTTTGGACCTTGTATGACAGAAGTCTGCTAGGCGCCCGATACTCCTACTGCTTCCGGCCCGAATGGTATCACCACTCAGCAGCATAGAGGCCGCCTTTCCTCTGAGCTCTGGGCGTAGAACCCATGGAGCCACTGCACTGCTGTTGATGGTGAAACAACTCATTTATGTAGACCTTATTACGCTTTCGAGTCCAGAATCAGCATGGCTACGATTGCGGCTGGCGAACACGGCCTAAAATAGTTGAGTCTGCGTTGCATCCTGGATCTCAGCTGTTAATGTCAGCCAGACTGTGAGGCGATGCAGCGTACTCCTACTGAGCCACAGCATACTGAGCATGCAGCTGGTCGCTGGTGAGCTGACCACCAGGTGTGAGTAAGTCAAGTCATCGTGCAGAATGTGAGCGCGCCGCCCATGCTTCTTTGCAGAATCGGCTCAAAGCCAACTCAGTGAAACATTGCTGAAATAGTGCCTTCACTAGAGCAATCGCAGAGGGATGGGCGAGGCTACAAACTCTTACTCAAGCTTTTCAAGACACTTCGTGACTTCGTGCAGCAAGGCCACCTGAAAGCGATGGTGAGGTGAGGCTCAGCAGACTAGCAGTGACTAGCAGCTGCAGGTTGTTTGTTGACTTGCTTTCCGCTTGCGCAGGAGCTTTGTCGCATTGATCCTGCGCCTATACTGGATTAAACAACCAAACCTAACTGTAACCTAACCCTTTCTCGTTGTCAAGCCTCCATCAGCTCGTCTGAAGATGCTGCAAGAATTTGTTTGAAGATGGACCTCTTCAGGCAAACATCACTCCTGATCAGTAAGTTCGGTTGGATGATCACAGCTTCTTCCACGAGGCTGTGGCCAAAGAACACGCCGATCTGGTGAGGGCCCTGAATCGAAGCCACCTCCAGTCACGCGACACGAAGACACCGTGCGAGTTCCGAATACCCGTTAAATTGGGATGCAGGGCAAACAGTACATACTGATGAGAGCCTGCATGAAATGATAATACAGCTCATGCTGGCAGCGGGCAGGGGGCCAGCATGCATCCAATTGCAAGTTCACAGCGCGTCATTTAGCGATCCACATCCAGTGAGCATCCCACTTTGCAGCTGCATGCTGAGAGTTCGGGTGGGGCTTGCATGTTTTGGGGTCCACGTCCATCGTGCATTAGATTTGGGAGCTATTGTGGCCTCGATGGGGTGATGGGGGTTAAGCAATGCTGGGGGTGGTTGAGATCTTCTTTAGGGTTCACAGTCTTGGGTTCCTTTAAAGTGTCCAGTGGTCGAAGTAGTAGCAGCAGCAGCAGCAGCAGCAGCAGCAGGACTAGTAGTAGCAGTAGTAGTAGTAGTAGTCGTCGCAAAAATAGTAGTAATAATAATAATATAAGTATTCGCAAAGTAAGTAGTAGTAGCAGTAGCAGTAATAAGTAGCAGTAAGTATTCGTATTAGGATTAGTAGTAGTTGTAGTAGTAGTAGTAGTAGTAGTAGTAGTAGCAGTAGTAGTAGTAGTAGTAGTAGTAGCAGTAGCAGTAGCAGTAGCAGTAGCAGTAGTAGTAGTAGTAGTAGTAGTAGTAGTAGTAGTAGTAGTAGTAGTAGTAGTAGTAGTAGTAGTAGTAGTAGTAGTAGTAGTAGTAGTAGTAGTAGTAGTAGTAGTAGTAGTAGTAGTAGTAGTAGTAGTAGTAGTAGTAGTAGTAGTAGTAGTAGTAGTAGTAGTAGTAGTAGTAGTAGTAGTAGTAGTAGTAGTAGTAGTAGTCATAGTAGTGGTAGTAGTGGTAGCAGTAGTAGCAGTAGTAGTAGTAGTAGTGGTAGCAGTAGTAGTAGTAGTAGTAGTAGTGGTAGTAGTGGTAGCAGTAGTAGCACTAGTAGTAGTAGTAGTAGTAGTAGTAGTAGTAGTAGTAGTAGTAGTAGTAGTAGTAGTGGTAGCAGTAGTAGTAGTAGTAGTAGTAGTAGTAGTAGTAGTAGTAGTAGTAGGAGTAGTAGCAGTAGTGGTGGTAGTAGTAGTAGCAGCGGTAGTAGAAGTAGAAGTAGTAGTTGTTGTAGTAGTAGTAGCAGCAGTGGTAGTAGTAGTACTTGTAGAAGTAGAAGTAGTAGTAGTAGTAGTAGTAGTAGTAGTAGTAGTAGTAGTAGTAGTAGTAGTAGACGTAGTAGCCACCGCCCCCCTACCCACTACCTCGTGTTACATACGCTTGTAACACACATCCGTTTTACTCGGTATTTACAGCACTTTCGGCATGTAGCAACATCTTATGAAGCCTCAAAAATCACATCCGAGACTACGGGATCGTTTTCGGAACTTTTCTCTTTGGGGTGGGTCGGAGGGTGCGGGAAGAATGATGACGACATCGTTACGCCGACACCCCGGACAACATCTCCGGAAGAGCCATTTTACTCAGTATTTACCGTACTTTCGCGACGTCTGCTATCTTATATAGTCGGCAAGCCTACCTCTGGACTTGGCTATGTTGTCTTTTGCCTCTGCGAGGGCTTTCAGCGAAAAACTCGAAATTGGGTGGGGGAGAGCTTCTTTACTCGGTCTTTCAAGTACTTTGCTCATGTCACACTCCATTGCTAACAACGAGTTCTCAAACTCCAGCATCCGATTCTGGACTTGCTTTTGGCGGGGGTGGGGGGGGTGCGGGAAGAATGATGACGACATTGTTACGCCGACAACCCGAACAACATCTCCGGAAGAGCCATTTTATTCGGCATTTACATTGCTTTCGTGACGTCAGCCCTCTTTCTAGTCGCCAAGCCTACCTCTGGACTTTGCTACGTCGTCTTTTGCCTTTGCAAGGGCTTTCAGCGAAAACTCGAAAATGGGTGGTCATAACTTTTCGAGGCTGCCTGTACGTTATCAGCCCCCCCCCCACCCCCCCCCAAAGCAACGCATGCAAAAGGGGTAGTGTGTAGGGGGGGCCGCCTAGTAGTAGTAGTAGTAGTAGTAGTAGTAGTAGTAGTAGTAGTAGTAGTAGTAGTACTAGTAGTAGTAATAGTAAATAGTAATTATAGTAGTAGCAGCAGCAGTAGTAGTAGTAGTGGTAGTGTTACAAGGAGTGCACGTGTTTTTCGACTGGACCAAGGGTCTTGGCCCTTTAAACTGTACGTGCGAGCAACCGCAAGGAGCAGGAGCGGAAACCCAGGCCTTCGTGACATTTCTCACCTCGCATCCACGGGAGAAACGAGTAAGGTCGCAAGCATGCTTAAGATCCAAAGCCCACAGGTCCCACGAACTTGCAGCTTGTTCACGGCACGAGGGTTCACCATGTTGGCGGGAAGCGAAACCACAGCGTTTCTCCCGCTGTCAGCAACGAAGAGCGTGTTTTCCTGACGGCGGAAATTGATGGAAAAACAGATGTGTCCATCAATGTGCAGAGACCGGGAAATCTCCTTGTCATAGGCACAGCCCCGCGGCTGCTGCAATCGCGCCACTTCCGTCACGTTGCCGGAACCGTCTGCCTGCCCATTCCCGCCCCCTCAGTGCCATGGGTGGCTTTAGCGAGTGGAGCAGCGCAAGAAAAACCTGCTGAGGTCGCGCCTTGACTGCGAACAGCGATTCCCCATCACCGGTGAAGAACACCTGGCACATGCCACCCCCAAACCCCCAAGGGCCAGCACGGAGGGACGAGTAGCACAAGCATGCGCAGCATCAGTTGTTTTAAAGTGAAAAGGTGACACAAATCCAAGTCGCAGACGTTGCTGCCCGCCAGGCAAACATCCTTGACCATCGCCTGTGCGGATGTTTCAACCAGATCAGCAGTCTTGACAGTCAGCAGTCTTGACGAGCCTGCCTGGTACATATCGCTCGTCCCGGACAAGATTGTGGCAGATTTCGCCTTGCCAGCGGACACTTGCTCAGCCTCGCGCGGAGAGGCGGGCCAAGCCAACATCACAGAGTGCTGGTGCCGCACTGCAAGCTGCGATCACTGGCAAGTATCTGCAGCACTTGCCTTGAGCAAAGTGCCTTTCTTCTGGTCGCCCTTTGCACATGTGCAACAAACATGGCTCCGGTGGTTTAAGGCTTGAGCATATATCTTGCGCTGCACTGCTTGCTCGCTCTCCAGACCAGTTTATTGCCAGCCCCGAGCCATCGGTGCTGCAGAACCCATGAGTGGGGCCTTCAGATTGGCCCAGTACACATCCATAGCATCCACTGCGATGCCAGCAGGCCCGGCGACATGTTTCAGCTTCTCCGAGCTCACAAGGGTCCTTAGAGAGCTGCCCGCTCTGAACACATGTAGAGCTCCGACGAACCATGGCCTCCCCTTCGGAATGCCCTTGGACATGTCCTGGCGAAAAGCGTAGACTGGTTGCAGCCCCACAATCTTTCACAGCATGTGTTCGAACTTTCGGCATCCAACACTGCAGCATAGTGTCTCATAACATTTTGAAGCAGGCTTTTAGTCTAGAGCTACCCTGGGCTCTGCATCAGCTCCAAGGGAAAATTTTCTGGGTTGCGGCGGAGAGCAGCGAAACAGACTGAAATTCCGGCCGTTAATTCGCAGTTCACGCATCCGCCGGGGGGCCTCGGAGCTGATCATTGAGATGACTCCAGCCTTTCGGAGGAAGAGAAAGAAGGTGGCATGCCGTCTTGGCTCTGCGCCGGGACACTGCGAATCTATTCAGCCTTGGCATCTGTGTAGAACAAGTTCCCGTAGCTGTCAACTGCCAGCCAGTGTGCACTGTCCTGAGAGGTGGGCTCCACCCAAAGAAGCGACACAGCCAAATCAGACACGGCCTTCAGATCACTGGCCACAAGCTGCTGGGAATCGGCTTGTAGGCCACGCCAGGTCGAAGAGACCTCATAAGTCCATGACTCGTCGGACTTTGGAGCAAAACAAGCCTGGTGAACGATTTCTCCACGAGTTTTCAGGATGGCACTCTGCTGTGCCGCTGTACAACTGGTCTTAGTTCTTTTCAGTGCATATGCCCACTTGATGGAGCAAAAGTCTGCGCCGTGTCGCACAAATTAGTTCACCCTGCAGAGTCTTAAGCTGCCTGGAAGGTATCGTACTTGCATAAACCGAGCTGACTTGGCCAGCCATCTAATTAAGTTTCGAGGATGACAAGCATGCCTCCAGCATCAGCAGGCCACGAGCCTAGCGTCTTGCAGAATGCACGTACCACGCAATGTAAGACCACAAGATCGGTCTGCAGTCAGGAAGCGCGCGCAGTCCCGCGATGTCACGCTTGAGACGCGTGAAGTCGGGCATAGGCCCGGTGCAATCACTCGCCCAAGCAACGGCATAGAAGAGATCGCCTCGGGTAATCAGAGAGAGACAGCTTGACCCTATACCCTCGCTCTCGAACAATGCACAAGCAGAGAATCACTGACAGAAATTGAGTTTGACTCTGCGTCGGCTGATCTGCTTACAGCATGCATTGCAAGGCAGACTGACGCCTACAGTGCTTGCACGGGCATCGTTTACACTTCAAGCCATGATGACGACTTGGGCTGCATATACTCGAGGGCCGCGCCAGTTTTGAATGAATCGGGAGCCAGGTGCGCAGGGCCAGTGAGTCAGACACAGCGGATGGCAAGATGCAAACAGTGAAGGACAAAAGGAAGCAGCAGCCAGGCCGCAAAAGTCAGGCATGTCGGACACGCGGAAAGCTAAAATGAGGAGTGATGGACAGGTTCTCGAAAGACGCAATGTCCGGAAAGGATGGAAAGGCCCAAGCCCCAAAACGCTTCACGGGTTACACCACCAAGGTGAGGCGGTGTTGGGCAAACCCTGAATGCTCCAGTGCAACCGTTACACAAACCCACAACTCCAGATCTAGAGATTAATGTAAACGACGAGCCGAAAAATAGGAAATGCCATTTCGTTCTGGTGTACGTCCAAGTCACAAGTCGTGGAAAAAACGACAGAAGGAAGCCTTCCATAAGACATGTTTCATTTATTCAGACTTGGCCTTGCTGTGTGTCTGAATCCCCTCCCTTTGTGTCTGTCGCAAGGGGTGTTCGTTTGGCACAATGTCGAAATGCTCTGCCGTGTCTTCCTGGGAGTTTCTGCTGGCAAGTTGCCCAACATTCTACCCATCTGGGCTTTGGCCTTCTTGGCAGATGTCCACTGCTTCCGGAAGGGCGCTGACATTACCTGGCGAGCAATGGGAAAGGGCCATTTAGTGGTGGAAAGAGAGGGAAACATCAAGCTTTGTCTTCTGCTGAGTGCCTCGTCGAAAAAGCCGTCTCGGAGAGCATCAGACAGCAGCTCCGGTGTCAGGTTCTGGCTCCTGAAAAAGGGTGCTTGCTCGCTTCGTGAGTTGCCATAACACATCACTGATGATCAGGATGATTGCATCTTTTCGCGAAGGATTGCCCAAACCTGTATGCTGATGGTCTGAGATCCGACGGCTGGAAGAAGGGCTTGAAACCATCCGGAAGTTGCTGCCAGGGGTTCTTGTCCGGATTGTCAATGCTGAAGGCCTCTGAGGCCAGCATCCACAAGAACTGCCATCCGAACCATCGGAGCAATTGGAGAGCCGACGACTGAGCTTCTGCGTCACCCTGACCACAGCTTCGTATCAGACCGTAGTCGATGAGGGTCAGCTTGGCAGCGCCCGAGTCCGTGGAGTACATGATGTTGTCCGGCTTCAGATCCTCACCACACGCTTGTAGACTAGACCATGCTACGTCAGTCGCTCACTAACAGGTCCATAGCATATTGACGACAATGCCGCACTCAAACACCGTTTCGAAAAGTTTCTCAACCTATTAATTCTGACGAAGGTCAACATGAATGTGCAAATTGCCTGACTCGTCTGGGTGCATCATATGCAGCTTTGCAGTGAGTAATTCCTCGAGTGTGGCCAAGGCCTCTGAAACGTGCCGAATGCCATCTGCTTGGCGGAAACGGTGAGCGGCTGAATCAAGTGTCTTGCCAAAAGCGCGCTCAAAGACCGCAAACATCGAGCCATCTTTGCCGGGAACGCTGCCCACACCCAGGCAATCCACGAAGTAGCTGGGAAACCGGGATTTCCTCGTTTCAAAATTCATGCAGGCTACGGGCAATTCGCCGCTTGTTTGCTGAAGCCCGTTCCAACTTCTCTAGATCGTTACTAAGTCGCATGACTCGCGCGAAATACGTCTCTGCCTGAATCTCGCTCCAATCTGCACGCTGGAAAATCTTCATCACCAGGTGCGGACTATCCCGCACAGGATACCTCGGCATTCACGTGCCGAATGGAATTCCCATGGCCCATGCTGTCAAAGGCTGAGGGGGAACACCAAAGTGTCGGGAGTCTCCAATTGGCACCTCACGCCAAAGCCTTCTCGTCCGATTAAGACTAAAACAATACAGAGGCGGAACTGTTGCAACATCGACCGTGCCTTTGGCATGCTTTGGCTACGAGCCTTGCAAAATATCGGTATTGACCACGGACACAACAAAAAACGCACACAGCTAGTCTGTTGCGAAGTTGTACCACTCTTTCCGCCACAGGTACACTTCACCGTACGCACCTGAGCCCAGCTTGTTGTCCATGTCCGGCAAGAAGTCTTCCCACTGCACAGTGGGTGCGTCGGTGATCTTCTTCAGGTCAGGCTTCCGCACCTCAGTGAGGAGACAGGGTGGGAGTCACCACGCAAAAGTCAGAAGACCAGCTGCTTGGGAGGGCTGCGTGCAGAGCCATTTAGACAAGATGCTTCCCTGTTTGCCGACTTGGGGGACAGGAGCGTTGGCAACTGATCCACAGCTGGGAGCACACTCGTCATGCCTGCTCCAGAGTGGCCGACGACTGCGGCACATGCCGTTCAAGCGAACCCGGGTCTCAAGCAGAAGGGAGAGAGAGGGAGAGAGGGAGAGCGGGATAGAAGCCCTGCCTTCGAAGATCGGTGCAGCAACACTAACGCTTCGGTTCCTCGTGCTCTTGCCGCTGTTTCTGGAGCCAGAAATGCCATGGAACGAACACGAGAAAATGTACAGAAGGCACCTCTAAACCAGTTCCGCACAAGCAACTTCTCAGCTCGACTGGTTGACTACGCACAACCGAACAGCTACTATGAGACTGACTTGCGTACTTGCCGTGGAATTCACACCGACCGAGGTCTGTGATCTGCGCGGTCTATGTCTGGGAACTGAAGCCGCGACCTCATATCGGTAGAGAAAGCCGACCTTGAAGTGCCCAGGTCATGAGATGAAGACAAAACGGCTGTGACAGCACTGCCCTTGCTGCCATGACAGCCAAGAAGCTTTCGGGTCCGAGATGTAGAGCCAAGCAGTTCCCCCACCTCTCTGGTAGAGCCTGGGCCAGTCATCCCTGCCTCAGGCCTCTTTTCTGCCGCGTGCCATGGCCCCGGACGCTAGCCCCGTTGGTTCTTCCAGACCACGATCTGAATGCTCAGAGCACGTCCACCCCCAGCACCTGTGTTTCACAAAGCTCCGCTGAGGGCTCTCTGTTCCAAGCAACGATGCGAGGCTAGCTTCAAAGACGAACAAGGCAGACGGAAACACATAAGTCGGAAACTTACTGGCTTTTCCGTCGATGAGAATCTGTGCATCTGGGATCCATCGGTCCTCTCTCAGCCAGCAGGCCAATTTTCATGCCACAATTTCAGAGTCTGTTTTGCCCTGGCCTTCACAGGCAAGGTGAGGTCGTGTAAGGACGGCAGGGGGGCCCACAACACATTCCGAGTGCTGGGAGAGGTGACCTGCCCACGACTGACGCTGACAGGTCGACCTAGTCTGCTGCACTTAGCAGCAAAGCAGGGCATCTTGTTGCTCCGCAGCTTGAGACCACTGGCCCCCGATCAAAAACGGCCGTGCCAGACACCTCATGCTGATCTGTTGCCGAGCGGCTATGACGAAACGATCCGGCCTTCATGCACGGACAGCGGTGTTATTTGTTACTAAGATCGGCTGAAGGCCGGAATTGGCACACGCAGGCTGCACCTGTCATATCCGCCAATTTCGCGCGAGATGAGCAGTGCCACCGCAGCCAAGCCACCTAGAAAGTTGTTGCATCAACTCGTGTGCTACATCTCCCAGACAAGATAATCGAAAGGTTGGCTGAGCACGCAACTTATCGAAGCAACAAGGGGTCCCAATGCCATGCTTCAGTTGCTGGCCCTGCCTCACGGCACAGAAGTGCGTCCAAGCCCACAGACTGCAGCCCAGAAAGCTCATCCAAAGCCGCAACTGAAAAGCTTAGAATCGATCTGCTCAGAGGTGCTGTGTTTGCGCACGGCTGTGGGCGCGGATAAATGGAGAATGCCGATTTGCACGCGAAAAGTTGAAAAGCTAAGAGTCGAAAAGTTGTAAAAAATAACTGTGCGCGAAAAACCAGAAAAGTCGAAAAGCCGAAAAGCCATGCACAATTCGAGTAAGTACAGCAAAACGCGAAAAGTCGAAAAGTCGCGAAAAGTCGAAAAGTCCAGCAAAACGTGAAAAGTCGAAAACTAGAAACGCCGCGAACAGTCGGAAATTACAGCAAAATGTGAAACGTCGAAAGTCGAAAAGTCAAAGTCGCAAAGTCGCCACAGCAGAAGCCGAACAAAAAAAAAAAAACCGGCACACATCTGAAGCATCTTGGTACAGCTTTGGTCTGCAGAGAGCAAAGGCAGATCTAGGATAGAAGCTTCGGCTCCCTTCTTTTCGCACCTCCACTTGGATGATCTCCACTGGCGAGCCGGACTTTCGGCATACAAGCTCATCTAGAGCCCCGAGGAACTACCATCTCGGTCATCGAAAAGCCGTGCAGCTGCACAAAAGAAGAAAATCCCAGCCAACAGCAGCCTTTTGGGCGGGCGGGAGGGCTGCTTAAAGGCTTGAGCCCCGGCACAACATTCGTTCACCACGCTTCTATCGTCAGAAGCTTCGGCTCCCTTCTTTTCGCACCTCCACTTGGATGATCTCCACTGGCGAGCCGGACTTTCGGCATACAAGCTCATCTAGAGCCCCGAGGAACTACCATCTCGGTCATCGAAAAGCCGTGCAGCTGCACAAAAGAAGAAAATCCCATCCATCCCCATCCAAAAGCCAGTGTAAGAAGAACAGCCAGCGCTAGCTGCTGGCCGAGAAAAGAGAAAACCAAGCTTGCGGCGGGAGCTGCTGCTTTGTCCACTGTTCGGCCTTGTCCAAAAGCCCTGGGAAAGCCTGGGCAAAACTCAAGATGCGCTGACGCGTCGAAAGAGGTTGGCGCGGCAGAAAGACGATGGAGGCAATCTCCTGAAGGTAGATCTCCATCACCCGGTGGGAGGCCCACCGTCCTCTCCTGCGCACTAACTCGCTGTCCTCAGTCAGCTGAAGCAGGTGAGTTGCACCACCAGGTCGGAACGACCCAAGGTCAATCGCACGCTCGTTAGAACGTGCGACGACCCCGAGTCGTCCCAGGATAAGGTCAAGTCGCCGACGCAAGGTTTGAGACGATCGCTTCCAGAGCAGCTCGGAAGGAGCTGTATCTTCAAAAGCCAGAGTGATGAGCCTCACAAGATCAGATGGCTCAACCTTTGCTGATTGATGTCGAGCCGTCCTCAGCCGAGTTTTCGGCTCACAGATTCTCAGCAAAATGTATTGTTGTAGGCCCAAAACATCACTGGGGAGAATGAGGTCAGCTCGTCTGGCCTGGGTCGCCTCACCAATACGCAGCACTCCACCCCAAGCGAGGGCGAATATGCCTGCTTCCTGTTTCCATCCCCATATCAAACAGCACGACAGTGTAGCCAGTAAAAGAACCAAAGGCATGGGTACATGATGCGTGTAGGGCTCGAGGGCTAACCACGAAAACGCCAGATCCCATGGCTCCTGTAGCTGCCTCCGCACTGAGGGAATGCGGGCAGCAATGGCATTTACTGTCTCGCTGAAGTGCCAGTAAGGCCTCCCACTATCAAAAAGCTCGCGGCCGTAGGTAGTGAGGTGCCTGCCAATGATCGCCGGATCCAAAGGAAGTGCCTCTAAAGCTTCAAGAGAAGAACCACGCTCCTGCAGCCAAGACTGGAAACTCCTCAACAGAGTCTCGCGGTTAGTCCGAGTCCGAGGTTGAACGGGTCTTCCAGAAGGCAGTTGTGAGCCAGCACGACGTTGTTGTCGCTCGACGTCTTGCCTCTCCCTAGGCAGCAAAGGCCCTTCTCCTGGGAAACCAAGAGTGGCGTCGAAACCAGAGAAAGGCAGAGGAGGGTCCGACCTAGCGCAGGAAGAGACTCTCTCAACTTCAGCGAACCACCGCTCCTTTCGCCAAGGCAGGGTGAGGGCGCGAAGGAAACCACCTAGGGGCCTAGGGGACCTAAACCCTACAAGAAGGCAGGCAAGTCTCAGGAAATTTGCCAAAGGACGCCGAAGCTGCTTGAAAGTGCACGCGAGATAAAGATCACCTGGGCCGAGAAGGCTCACGAGAGAGTGCTCTTGCGGAGGCCTAAGGTTGGTGAGCCGAGTCGGGTCATCGGCTATATTCAACCTTGTGGGTCCGAAAGTGACGGAGGGATAGAGGCCTCCCGCAATTTGTAGCGCAGCGTTTTGCTGCAAGACATGGCGCAGGGCTCTGGTGGAGCTCCTACCCTTTGAGGTGGCACCCAAAGTGACCGACGAATCCACCACATGCGTGTAACGCAGATCACCTTGACCAACAGCAAGGTCACGGAGCACCTTCACATAGGCCTCTGCCTCCAGCACATTGATGTGACTACGTTCGGCCCAGTGCCAGGCGGGACCGCTTCGCCACTTTGCAGTGCACAGGAGGTCATTGACAATGAGGCTTTCTAGCCCTTTCCTTTCAAGGCGCCTGGGCGGAAGAGCCCTCAAAGAGGATGCGATGCCGGAAACGAGAAGCTCGATAACCGTAGGGCAGTGTCCTGGGCTAGGGTTTTTGGGCACCTGGCAAACACAAGAAGAGGGCGGCGCAACAGGAACCAGCCTGAGGTCTGAAAGGTACAGCGTGACAGACCCTCTGTGACAGTGCCCGAATGAGCAAGCAGGAAGCGACCTGATCCTCACACCGTCGAGCTTCTCAACGAATCCGAGGTACCTCGAAGCAGCCATTCCCCCGCAAACAAGCACGGCTGGGACTCGACATCGCCAGGCGACCCAAAAGAGAGCACAAGCACCAGAGGCAAGTCTGGAGGCGGCGGAGCTCCTTTTGCTGGTGGGCCCCAGATTTCCTTTTGCACTCGAGGAGGCGTGGAGCACCGACAAGGCACCACTCGGAAGGTAGACAACGAGAGCTCCAAGGCGGTCATTCATCAACAAGTGCATGCCCCACTCAATTGCATCAGCCTCCCTGAGATCAAGATGCCTTGAGGCTGTTGCGTCAAGCACCGGCCCGCCGACAAAGCCAAGGGAACTTAGGCGCGTCACAAGTGCAACAGGAGCAGGCCCCGCAACGAGGAAGTCAAAGCACTGGCTCACGGGCTTCCGAAGGTTAGGCGCCTCTTGTAGCTCAAGGGTATCGGGGCACCCAAGAAGAGGCTCACAAGACAGAGCGGAGAGGGCGGCTCGCCACGGATCCTCAAGCTTCGTGTAAAAGCCCTTAGAGTCGGAAGAAAGCCAAACCGAGGCAGCGACTGGCTCTGGGACTCGTGCGCTTGTGTAGGCTCCAAGGCCCAGCGAGGCATCTGAGGCAAAGATCTGCTTCGCGTAGGGGGCTGCGACGTTGGTTGCAAGCACGGGTGCGAAAACAGCGAGCAACGCAAGCTCCTGCCTGACCTGAGGCGTGAGAGGGACAAGAGCCGAGCCCGCCTCACCAGTGGGCTTGGAAACCCCCAAAGAGAAGAGCTTGTTGGTGAGGGCCATCGCACAGCGTCGAAACATCAACACTGAAACCCAGCCCCCAGCAAGCTGTGAAATCAACTCCTCAGTGGCCCAACGCATGGCAGCGGAGCGCAGGCTGACAAGAGACAATGCTAAACGCTTTGAGACCGGAGAGGCGACGCTGACCAGTCCCTCGCGGACACTCTGAAGAGAGGAGTCGCATTCAGCGCCAGCAACGGTAAAGGTCTCCGAGGAGAACAGGTCCTTATCGTCGGAGCCCTTGACGCCCAGACGGTGGTAGCCTTTCTTTGCCCTGCGAACAATCCTCTCAGAGTCAGAGATGTGACCTCGATCCCGGGCAATCTCCTCGCAGGAGACAAAGAAAAAGTCGTCTATCACGACTCCGGTCCAGGGGCCACGGCGGCTAACGGAGTGCTGAGCGAGAAGTCGGCCATGTTCGGCGGAGGGCAAGACCCCTTCAAGAGCCAAGAAATTCGCATGTGCAGCCGTGGCAAACTCCACTCCACTGGCATCGCCTTGGAAAAGAGCCGAAAAACAGCCGTGCACAGGACAATCAAGGTCTAGAAGTGCGGCCCGGGGAACATCGGGAGGACACCTGGAGTGAGCGAAAGCCGCAGGAGGAAGCGTCGACGCCCGGACACAGGCAACATACTTCTCGAAGGCCTTCGTCCCAAGAAAATCACCGAGCCGAAAAATGGGCCGTACCGCGTTGGAGCAGGCACGCTCGTAACTCACCCCGCACTGAGAATAAAAATCCTTTCGATCCGTCGTGCTACCCAGCAGCTGGTGAGAAAACCTGGGAACCGAAACCCGCGTGAGCAGAAACCCCTGCGGCAGCTCGTGAGAGACGCCCTCGAGTTTAGCCTCGTAAGAGTTTGGACCCCGACGATCACCAATCTGTCGGAACTTACCCGGCCCCTTAAAGGAACCAAAAATCCTCGAACACCAACTAGGATCGACGGGCCCTGGTCGAAGGCTAAGCAGTGATTTGGCGTCCCACACCAGCATAAGTTTCATCAACTCAGCAGGGCTCTCTCGAGCGAAAGAAGGCTTTGGGCCACCCGTCCCGGCAAACTCCAAAACCAGGGGATCTTTGAAAGCCATCAACATTGAAGGATCAAGGTACGGCCCAATGTCCCAGTTCGCTTCTCCGTGGAGCACCATGGAATCAGCTTGCAAGGCCTGAAAAGGGCGAAGGGACTCGGGCCCGAGCGGGGAGTGAGGGACCCTGCCAAGCGAAGCACCAAGCCCGTCATATGAAGACGCGCCCAAGCCGGCCGCAGCCAAAAAGTCAATGAGCTCATTTTGCCTGGCAACAAGATGAGCTCCTCTTCTGCCTGCACAAAAGGGGACGACGGCCCCGCGGCGGCAACACGCCCGAAGAAAGCCGGAAAGGCGACGGAACACTCTCAAGTGCACCGGAGCCGGCGGCCTCCGCAACACGTGGGGAGGGACATGATGACCTCCCGAATGCACGAAGTTCAAGCCCATGGTAAGAACATGAAGCGCATACTTTAAGTGCACGGGGGTCCTCCGAGAACCTCCTCGCCTCCTTGTCATCCCGCCGATGGGCGAGGGAAAGGGAGCAGGCAACGGGAAAAGGGCGGTAGGAGCGGCAAGATCATCGCTCCGGTGGAGGTGCAAAGTTTTTGAAAGAAAGTGGCCAAAAGACGTCCCAGACTTAAGGACGAGACGAATGAGCGAGTTCGCCCAAGAAGAAAAACTGAATTCCCCATCGAAGTCCAAGGGAGTAGGCCCCGAAGGGAGGCATGCAGAAGAGGCCCGCTGGCCTACTTTGCCACACCGCTTCCGGCAGCCTGGGCCGCCTTCTTTGCTGCCCACTGGGCCGCCCTTTGCTGCTTCTTTGTCAGGACTGTCTCTTCGGTTAGAGCGGGGGGCGGAGGAACTCCAGGAGGCTTCTTCGGCTTTGCTTTGGCTTCTTGGCGGCGGGTGGCAATGAGATCCATCTCTTTCAGAAAACCCAATGCCGATGTGATCCATTTCTGATCCGCTAACTGGCTGAAGGGCTGAACGCTTATGCCCGGCGGCGCCTGGCTGTCGGTGAAGAGGCTCTGCGGTGGATCTTGCAAAAGCGTGAGCAGCCACGCTATCGTAGTCGATCCCTGGTCCAACGTGGCCTGGTCCAGATAAAGAGCCAGAAGGGCGAGGGAATCCGCGGCTCCCGAGGTATTGCCCGACATCAGCAAATCGAACGCTATGGCAACTTGCCAAGCCACCAGGCCTTGCTCCTTGAACTTTGCATAGCCTCCGAAACTCTCGTGATACCTGCAAAGAGAGAAAGGCTCGGTGGAGCCCACCCCCGCGGGGGCCATCCGGGCAAGCGCCCGCTCTTTCAGCTTCTCGGCAAACCCCCCTGTATGCTGGGCCAGCTCGGCTTGCAACCGCTGGCGGGTCTGAGAGCCTCTGGCGGAAACGCTTGAAGAGGAGCTAGGGTCCAGAATCGGATCCCCGGCCTGCGCCATCTGCCCTACCAAAGTCAACAGGGCCCTGCTCTGGGCTACCATAGCCGCCGTCAGATCGTCTTGAGGCCGCATGTCGGGCAACTCTCCTGAAGTAATGGCGGCAGCTAGCTGAGCATCTCGGTCGACTTGAGGCACGGAGTGCTGTGGCCTGAACCTGTGCACCTTCCTGGGCTGCCTGACGCGCATGCTGAGGGACCCCGACGTGAGCTGCCGACGCCTGAACCTGTGCACCTTCCTGGGCTGCCTGAAGCTCCTGCCGCGGGGCAGCGGCCTGGGCCGAGGGAACAAGAGCCTGAGCCCCTGTTTGAACAGTTGGCTGCTGGCCGAGTGCCTGCGCCTGTGGACCTGACCTCGCACCTGAAGTTCGGAGGGCCTCCAACTGATCGCTGATACGAGCGACCATCTCCGTCAAGCTGGCCTGCTGCTGGGCTAGCTGAGCCATGGTCGGCCGTTTTGGTCTGGAGCCACGCTTTGGGTCCGAGGGAGCTGGCACTGGGACCTCCGAAACCGCCGTCTGATATCCCGAGGAGGGGCCTCCGCCTTCGTTCAAAATCCAGTGGCGGGCTTGCACCAAGACTTCGGCGGCCAAAGGGTAAAGAGTAGGCTCGGCATCCACGAAGTAACTTCCCACAAAGACGTCGGGATCCAGAGGAGTCAGGAAAGGCGTGACCTGTGAAGGAAAGTCCACAACAAGGGCCGGGATTGGCTCGCGGTCGGGAACGGTTCGCCACTCCCCGTCTTCGGACAGAGCCACCGCGGAAGCTTGCACTCGATGCGAAGGGCCCGGCCGGGCGGTGACATCCTCTTCCGAGCTCTCCAACTCTCCGGGAAGAAAGAAATCCTCCGGAACACAAAGCAAGAAACCATCCGACCGCAGCAAGAGGGCGTAGCAGACGCATGATCGCTGACCGTCAGGATCAGGGACAGGGGGCCACACTAATTCCAAAAGCTCGACCACCCCCGAAGAGGCCGGGACCAAGGACTGGAAATCCATCAGTTAGGATAGGGAAGCCCGGCCCCCGCAAAGTATGCCCTGGCTTCTTGCTCGCTTGGAAAAGCGTGGCTGACCGACTCCAACCTCTCAAGGATGCCCGGAACCGCGCTGTACTCGGCGAAGCTCTTGTACACAGCCGGAACCTTAACAGCACGAGTGCGGAGAACGCAGTAGATCCTGTTCTTAGCCGTGAGCTTCGGAGTCTTATCGGCGTAATCTGAGACACCCGACAGGACCTTCCCAGCACTCACCCCGGCACGCCAAGCTCGGGTGATGCGGCTCCTCGGGCTGAGGTTGCAGGCCGAAAGGAAACGAGCAGTCTCCGCAATGAAGGCAGGAGGATCAGCTGGCTGCTCAAGAGCAGGAGGGGCTGAAGAGCCCTGCAAGGGGTACTCAGGCACCACGAAGGAGGAAGGAAAAGGAGGAGGACTGGCTGTAGGGCGCGCCGGAGCTAGGGGGTTCCTGGCTCCCACGGGGTGCGCTTAGGACACGGGGGGAAAGCCTCTGAAGCTCAGGCAAGTAGCCGGCAAGGGAAGAGGAGGCCTGGTCAGGAGGGAGTTCGACGAGGGTGAAGGAGCCCGTCGAGGAAGGGGAGGAGGTGTTTGGAGGCGGATCCTGCGCGCTACTTACGCTAGTATCAACCCTAACTTCAACGCCCTCAACCCTAACCCTGACCGTCGGCATGCAAATACCCCCGGAGACGTGCGGCCCTCTGCCTCGCAGCCCGACTGGGCACCTCAGGAGCAGGGGAGGCTGGAGCCCAATCCCAGTTTCTGAAGTACGACCAGTATATATACCAGCCGGCCAGAAGAGCGCACAGAGCCCCCGAGAGCCAACCAGCCACAAAGATCGCCAGTAAAAGGATCGCTCCGGATCCCTGGCAATGCGCTGGGCAAGCTAGGCCCCACCAGTTTGTCTGAACCCCTTCCTTCAGAAGACCAAGACCAGTGACAACGAAAGCAGGGACCATCAAAAGAGAAACCCTGCTTAAAGGCTTGAGCCCCGGCACAACATTCGTTCACCACGCTTCTATCGTCAATGCTAAGGGTTTCGGGTAGTGGGGGAAGTGCTCTGGTCTTGTAAGACTGAAGCCTCGTCAAATCAAAGCACCGGAAACGATGTCCTTCTTCACTACGTGTGTGAGGTGTCCATGGCACAGGGAAGTCAATGTGGAAGGTTTTACAAAAACACGCAAACATTTGCATATGCCCTGTGTGTGCGTGCAAACAAAAGCAGAAGTTTGGTTATACGTACATGCATATGTATATACATGCATCTGGATATTTAAGTTTATAAGCAAAAATGTAAATGTAAATATGAAAATGAATATAAATATGAATGTACATCTCCATGTAAATGTGAATATATATATATATATATACATACATACATACATGCATACATACATAAGGCAATGTACGTCTATATCTGTGTATGTATGTATATACGTAGATACACATATGTATATACACATGCACACCACTCTTAAACCCTAAACTCCAAGCCCAGAGAACACATCAGCCCCAGTCTGGCGATCCTGCAGATCGTGACGTGAGTTCAAGTCAAGCGATCTTGGAGATCGTGAGCCTGAAGCGACACTTGTAAACTCTTCAGAGACAGCCAGTGTTAGACCCGAGCAGAACCAACAGAAAAATCTACTTAACTCAATGTTCGAACCTTCGCAGAAACCACTCATGCTTCGGGGCATGATAGTGCGAGGAGCTTTGAGGAATACCATTAGGAAGCGCTCCGCCCCCATCGTTGAAGCCCTTTGAATCTTAAGAGCGACACAAACTCACTGATACCATCAAGCCCCAAGAGCTCTTTTTAAACGTAAAACCCAAGCTCTTTTACATATCTTGCCAAATCCAAAGAAGCTCGACAATTTCCAAACGCTGGAGCGGCTGTTTTGCTTAGTGGTGCACCCGGCTCAACGATTTGGTAGATGGCTGAGAAAACCGGTGAAGGCTAAGTGTAGGCATGCTTGATCCAAGCGCTACAATGACACTGTGACTGCCACACAGCCAGCCTGACTCAACATGATTGACTGTTAAAGCCCCAGGGGCAGGTATCGGCTGCTTTGCTTAGTGGTGCGTCTGGCTTAGGGCAGCAGAAAATCCCGCCGTCGGCCAGAGCAGGAAGGCCCGAACGAGCTACAACTAGGACACTTGAAACCATGACTGACTCTAAGAATGATCGTGTTACTATCGAGTCAGACGTGCACAAGCAAAAGATTGAAAAGGCAAGGAACTAAACGAAAAGCCCAACAACACGTAAAACCCGAAACAAAACAGCCGAACCCGAAAAGCCAAAAAACGCGTAGGGTCCCAGAAGTGCAAGAAAAGTAGAAAGGTCGAGAAACCTAACAACGCAAACAAAAAGAAAACAGAAACGTGAAGCAACCCCCGAAAAATCGAAAAGTACAAAAAAAAAAAAAAAAACGAAACGTGCAAGAAAAACCGAAAACTCGAAAAGTTGCAAAGTCTAAAACTTTTCGACTGCTTGACTTTCCGATGTTCGTTTAGGTTCTCTGCTTATGGAAACCAACGCCTGCTTGCATAAATGGGAGGCTCAAAGCAAGCAACTTCTTCGGGCACCAGAGCAATGCAGGGAAGGGTTCGCGACTCTCAGACGATTATCCAGATGGGCGCTATTGCTAAGCCTCTTCAAAACCTCCGGAATTGACCACAAGCAGCCTCAGCACCAGCGCATGGAGGCGCTTAGAAGATCGCCTCACAAGCATCGTTTTGGCTTCGGTCTTCGCTGAATCGTCGCGCTGTTCAAAGTAGGGCTCTAATGTCCTGTAAGGTCCCTGGGGTTACTTCGTAGTATTTCACATGCGATATCTGCGAGATGATGCCCCACCTCTGCAAGCTTCGTTGGAAATCGCGGTGGGGGCCGCGCTGCGAAAGAGCCCAAATCGGACACCGATGCTTCAAGGCCCGGCTCTTGTCCAAACCTTCCAAGCTTACGCTGAAGCATCCGCCGTCTTTGTTTCACATCTCGAAATGGCTGGTGACCAGTCAGGGCTACTCATGAACTGACGGCCCTCACTGGCTAGTAACGACGTGTAATGATGCAAGCGATCGAGATGAGGAGTAACCTACTTCGGCCAATGCACTGAACTTCTCAGCCACTAACTGAGAAGTTGAGGGCAGAGCACGGCTGTACATTTGTGAACAAGCTCACCAGCAGACTGCAACGCTGGTGAAGATGGCCGACTGCAGCGTTCTGCTGGTGCGGGTCAGCATCAGTCAGTCCTTTTCCGCAGCTCTCCCTGCAACGAAGATGTGAAGCGTCTCTCCCTTCTCTCTGTCTGCCGGCACTCTCAGGCTTGCCATGCAAGTTCTGGCATGCCTCTTGCTCGGTCTTGCTCTCTTCGGGCATCTTGGTTTCGGGCCTAAAGCATCTCAGGATCTCGCGAGAGGTAGGGCAACTGCCCCTTCAAAATCCTTTCTAAGGGCTGCGCGTTTTCTTTACCTCTTTCCCTTCGGCCATGAGAGTCTTCGCAAACCTAGGAAAATCCCATGGAAGCGCGCTCGACGACTTGGCCCTGGCCCTTCACTTGGGCCGCTGCTCGCCGGCCTGCTTGGCCTGCCGGGCAACAAATGGAAAATTAGTCCAGCGCTTCTGCGTGTTGGGCGAAGGGTTCCGCCAGACCTCTCTGTGGTCACTTTCACACTAGCCGCTAGCCTGCCGCGATATGACATCGCGGTCCAGCTCCAGCTTGGCACATCGCCTTAGCCCAGCCAAAGCAGGAGGATGAGCCCCAAGAATCACCATGCTACTCTTGATCTGTGAAACATGAAAGTGAAGCCGAGCCGGGAAAAAACTGAGTGGAGCAAATTCAGAAGGCCAAGGCACCCGATGTTGCACTGTACTAGATTGTACTAGGTCGCAGGCCCAGTCGTGATATGCAGCGCCTGGATGGCCTTCAGTTCCGAGCAACGCCCTGGCCACAAGACAGCCGGGCTCGGAGGCTCGGGGGCCCGTGCCATCATCGATGCCAAGTTCAATGCAAGGACGAGAGCACCTTCCTGACCGGCGCGGCATGTTTCAACAGCTGCCATTAATTCGACAAAGCCGTCCTTGGCAGCGAAAGCCTCGAACATCTGGGCATTTGCCATGCTTGGGTCAGATGAGGCTCCTGAAGAATGCCACGGTCGAAAGATGCAAAGTCTGCTGCAATGGTTACACAACGTTCTGCGACCTGCAGACTTGAAGACGTTCCTGAGACAGTCTAAACCTCAGGTGCATTTCTTCGACGCCTGATGCATCCTCGACTAAAGTGTCTTTCCATGAAGAGACTGAGAAACAGACACAACACAAGCATCACACACCAAACGATCTTCAGAAGACCTCAGCATCTGGCGTCTTGCCCTTATCCGACCACCATCAAAGCTGGTGCATTGAGGCTCTGGCCACAAACCGGTGTGTCAACGAACAAAGTCGTAATGGAGTGGACGGCAGACTGAAGCAGTCCAGGCATGAAATGAAAAGGACAAGCGGTTGAGAGGACTGCCGCTCCTAGCTAGCTCGGCTTGCCTGCATGCCGCTGCCAAGAAAGGCAACCTCAGGTCAAGAGATACCTTTTCGGTACCGTGACAGATGGTTGCATGGACCCTGGTCGCTTGAGAGCCCCCAGCAGCTGCATACTGCACAGAAAGAAGAGGAAGCCAAAGCAGCAGGGGCCAATAGGCCAAGCCTCGAGGCACAGCTTTGCGCACGACTCCTCCCAAGCTTTTTTTTCACTTGTTCAGATCAGCCCGGCGCCAATCATAGGCACCATGGTGGTCCAATGGGCAGCGCCCCACTGCAGAACAGACGCGAGGATCAACTATCACACGTTATACTCTTGCAATCTCTTGCACCATGCGCTCGAAAATGCAGCAGCTCCGAAACACTGTAATTACAGTAAAGATGGCTCCAGGACATGTCCATGCCTCATGATTCACGTTCCTCATGTGGATTCGCTTGAGCATTGAGGGGACAAACATGCAAACACGTGTGGCGGGCGGGGCGACAATCGGAGCGAGTTGCTATGCGAAGCTGCTTGAACTTTGCTTGCATCACTCTCAATGGTGCCACCAACCGTGCATGGTGAGACTTGGCAGAAAATTGCTCAACATCAGTCAGGCTGCGGCCTGCAGAGAGGAATGGATCGCAGACGTGGTGTCAGTACGTAAGCACACAACCCCCGACGCTGTCTATACAGCTTCAACGGCTTGAGTTTGAAGACCCAAACTGAACACTGGATGCTGCCGGGGTCCTGCTGCGAAGCTCAGCAAGCTACAGTTCTGGGTTGAGTTCTACGAAGCCTGTCGTCAAACGGTGCACCTTGTGGCGCTTGGACTCACGAAGTGAAGGAATGTCAACGGATTCCTGCCGGCTGGGCTGGGCTCCACTGGAACAGCTTGCAGCTTGCCTTATATGCCGCCGCGATGTGCGCAAGTCAAGCCTCCTCGGAAGAGTCCACGACAAACTGCGGCGCAGCAACGGACCCACGAGAGAGGAGCAAGGCCGCCTGACTTCAAAGTGTGCAGTCTGGGCCGAGATCAACGAACTGATGTGGCTGCCTTTCCGCCTTTGTCTAAATCTGCCCTCTCAGCGAACCCTTGAAACCCAGAAGCTGCACATCCTTTTGCGAGTCGGAAGTGATCAGAGCACTGCATAAGCATTGAGCCTGCAAATCCGCTTCTTCAGCTGCCAGGAACTCTCTTCGAGAGGCTTCAATGGCCTTCACGGCATACTTGTAGCAGGACATGTGTTTTTGCACCAAACCCTTCTTCTTGAATGGACCCTAATTGATGGATACACCTGTTCCTCACTCGACGCAGCCACAGCTGCTGCCAGCAACCTGGAAGCTCAGCGGCTGCAGGCGACACGGCGACACGCGAACTCATCTTGAAGGGTTCAGGGCTTCAGGGACCTGTCTTCGGAATCCGGTCGCAAGTCGATCGCCGATGCGCCTCCAAGAACTGACAAACTGCTCTTATCTGCTCTTCACACTCCGCAGATATCTATTGAGAGGCCTCTCGAAGCTTCCAAGGCCTTGGCCAAGTTTTCCATGAAAGCCATGAGCACTAGCATCACTCGCAGGGATTAGGGCTGAGCCTGCTGAAGCTGCTGCTCCTCTTGAACACGCATCCTTGGGCAGCATGCAGCGCTATGGCCATGCACTCGTCGCGAAGCTCTCTCGGTTCGAGGCTGCTCGAGACTGGCAGCAGCGGCTTGTGCAAGAGCCTCCTCTACAGTTGCAAGCATGGCTGGAAGCCTGGTTCAACAGCACTCGAAGCTCTCCTCTGAGACCCAGTCCAGCACCTCCGTGACTGCAGCCCCGATTGTCTTCTTACCGGCCGCTTGCACTGCCATTGCTTCTTCGACAAGGCCTTCGTCGCAGCAGCTTCTCTGCAAAGATGTGTATGTAGCACCACCACAGAGCATTCTAAAGGCTGCCGAAATCTCTCTCGCGTGCCTTTCATGAGCTTTCGCGGCTCGAAGGCATCCAACGGCTGCACAGCTGGCACCTTAACGCAGTCGAAAATCTGGAAAGTGTTGGTTTCGAAATAGCCCTTTGGAGGGCTCGAAGCTCGACGGTCTTATGTCAGCATGTCCGCTGGTGGTGTAAGCACTGGGCAGACGGCGACTGCATGTAGCTTTGAAGCTGCTGCTGCCTAGACCGGACCATGGTCGCGTAGCAAAGCAACCCTGGTTGGGACCTTGCCTTGAGCTGGCCGTCTGTGCCCCTTCAAGAGCCGAGCCCCATAACAAGGAGCCAAGGAGTCTGCTTTCAGGAACGGAGGTCACGAGCTTGGGCGCGGACACTCTTCACTGCCTGCAGCGACCAACACCTGAAGTCGGCAGTGATTTTTTTCTACGAATCCAAGTCCAAGCAGCGCTTCCAAGTTCCACAGCAAAGTGGAGACTCTCAAAGGCCGAACGTTTCTTGGAAGGCGCTGCGCTGCTGCCTAGGACGGCCCTGCCTCAGCTGGGCCTCGATGCTTCATTTCACTTTGTACAAGCTCATCTCGCCATACGCAGTCACGGAAGCTGCCACCGGGTCAGGTCCCCTAGGAGTTGCTGAAGTACCTGGGCATTGGAAACAGAATCACAATGCGCGTATGTGTCGAAGCTGCCGCCATGTGACAGCAAACGAGAACTTAGCTTTGAGTACTGGTGGTAGAGCACACAAGTTGCAGCCAGGTGGCGCAGGGATGCGTATTTTCCTGCCAACGATGAGAGCAATTCGCTCTCGACGTGTGGACTAAACTAAACAAAGCCCTCCAACTAAACACGTTTTGAAAGACTGCCGCGGAACCGTGACTTCAGTTTGTCTTTGGCAAGAACCATCGTCGCATTCCTCATGGAAGTATGAATGAACAATAAATCGTTTTCCGATCTGGTCGTGTCTTAGGCGGATGCGCGGGACAGCGCACCTAAACCACTGAAGTTGCTGAGAGGGGCTGCTCGCTGGTACGATCTGGGAACCACCAGTGTTCTTCCAAGAAGATTTCATCGATAAGCTCGGCATCCTTGAACTCTGCCAAGCAAGGCATAACTTCGTATTCGGCGCCCTGGCAGCGGTGCAGATATGTGCGACGAGTCTTCCTTCAAAATTCCCCTCCTGCGCGAAAGACCCCTTGCTCTTAGTTTGTAGGTCATCGCGTTCGCCCCTTTCAACCGTGGTGAACTATGGCATTCAACAAACGACTCGAGCCCTCTCGACAGGACTACATCTACACATTCCACCACTGCATTTGCTTTACCTAAGTCTAGTCTGGTTGCCCAGGGGCCTAGGCGCAGGTACTGGTGTGGTTCACTTTTATCAGAGCCTAGACAGCAACCAAGGCTTGCGGCATTTCTGTGGCCACACCTCGATGTCCACTTTGAGTATGACCCAGTCATCAGGTCGCACGTTCTCAGCAATGAGCTTGTTCACGTTGATGGTTGGAACTGTCACTTCTTGTTGGCCCACCTTCTCGTCCAAACTCGACGCCCAGAAGTTGTGAGTAGGATCAGCATCAATGGAGAACGTCGTGGTCGTTTCACAACTGTATGCAGCTGTGGAAGCAAGCGAGCGTACTTTGCCTCCGAGGTTAGCTTCCAGTGAATTCAGCTTCTTGCTGAATACCGGGTTTGCCTCCACCAAAATAGCTTCCCAGTCACCGCCATGTGGACAGTTCTTCACGGGACCATAGCCGTCAGCAAGAAAGTTGTCAAACGTGTTTCCATCCGCCGCTCCCAAATCAATAAAAACGCACTTTGGCTGAGTTCTCGATGTTTTATGCCAGGAAGGGCTGTTGGCGTTGCAGCTGCAGCCGGGCTTGCGCAAGCCGGCGCCTGCTCTGGTGCGGGTTTCAGAGGAGTTGCTCCGCAGGCTTATGGCCCCGCTCTGTAACACAAACGAGGCGAGGAGCACATGGAGCAGCCACTGCATTCTGAGCTAGATTGGTGTCGGGTTCAAGGCTCGAGCCTCAGACAGATCGAACGTCAGAACCCCACACCCTGAGCCAAGATGCAACTTCCTGCGGTGGATCGAGCCAAAGCAGGCACCTCGACACCACCCATCTCGGCCTGCATTCCATTGCCAATGAGCGCCTGAGGCATCGCGACGAACTCTTACGAATTTGGCTGGTGGACATTTGCCATCTGGGACGACGACAATAGCTATGCGTTGGCTGTCTGATGGAAGCCGACAAACCGTCATCACCTTGCAACAGGGACAAGCCCGGAATCCGAAAACTCAACCGAGAAACTGACGAAACCAAATTCAAAAGATCTCACGGTTTCTTTTACCACGGCCGTTGTCCACGCCCACCACAGCCGCCCCATCAACCGGACCCTCGTTCCTGCCTGCACCCCATAGTCGACCCTCCGTGTTTTGTTCCATCGCAGCACGTTTTCACATGTGGAAGCTGACACAGATGGGCGAAATGCCGAGACCACTCTTCTAGAGTGTCGAAAGCCAGACGGATCAAGTCATATTCTTGTCCTTGAAGGTGCAGAAACGGGAAGTTCCAATCGGTACATGTTTCACAACAACAATGATGCAAGCTTTTCTCCACTGTCATCAGCAAATGTTTGTCCGGATCGCAGCATGAACGATCAATGTACGCCGGTCGCGCAGGCTCTGCATCGATCCGGCTTTTCTGCTGCCATCAGCCGGGAAGAATTTTAAAGTAGCCGGCTGACCTGCCGCCCTGCATTTGGGCACATTCCCAAGACCCAAAAGTAGTGTAATTTACGGCATGTTGGCTCTATTTAAGCAGGTTAGCGAAGTTGGCTAAAAAAACTTCACCACATCACATTATCATGGTTGGCACATGGATGCTTTGCGGGAATGGGTGGAGTCTGATCTGGACGCTATCATGGTTGGCACATGGATGCTCTGTGGGAATGGATGGAGTCTGATCTGGACGTTATCATGGAGTCTGATCTGGACGTTATCATGGTTGACACATGGATGCTCCTCCTGATCTGGACGTTAACATGGTTGGCACATGGATGCTCTGCGGGAATGGATGGAGTCTGACCTGGACGTTATCATGGAGTCGGATCTGGACGTTATCATGGTTGGCCCATGGATGCTCTGCGTGCTCGGATGGGGTTTCAGTGGATGTTACCATGGTTGGCCGATGGATGCTCTGCGTGCTCCGGATGGGGTTTGAGTGGACGTCATCATGGTCGGCCCATGGATGCTCTGTGCTCATGGGGTTTGAGTGGACGTTACCATGCTTTTTCTATCATGTTATCATGGCTGGCCCATGGATGCTCTGCGTGAACGGATGGGGTTTGAGTGGACGTTTTCATGGTTCGTCCACGGATGCTCTCCGAAACGAGGAAAGTCTGTGAAAGGACAGACAGCAACAAAAGAACGGCGAATAACCCGTCAAAATGCAGTCGAAACGGCCCTTCCAGCATAAAACGTGCCAAAACATTGCAAAAACTCGAGTTTCGGTCCGGAAACAAGCAAAATCGCGACGAAAGCAAAACCAGCACAACAGCGAGAACGAACAAACACAACAGAGAAGAGATGCTCAAAAACTCGAGGAAAACGCACGTTGTAGACCAAAACTTGGAAACAGCAACAACGAAAACATACCCAAAAAAGGCGCCCGGGCGGCAGGTCAGCCGGCTGTCAACAACAACTCTCTCCATCAAACGAATGTCGTGCACGCCCTTTTGGCACGTCTGCCCCATCAGCATCTATCGGCCCTTGTCCATGTCCGCCCCATCAAGCCCCTCTTGTCTCCCTTCCTCTGGTCGCATCTTTTTTTCCGTCGCTGAAGCTACCTTGCCCTTCCTCCGTCGTCCTTTCCCCAGGCTCCTCATTTCATCTCAAGCAGTGGATATCGCACAGGCGGGTGTGCGAGCACAGCACTGAACCACAACCGAACCCCAGAACGGGAAAAGAGGAGCCTTCGCGCAACAAGAAAATGTCGAGCGCTGAGGTCGCTTCCCGTCGCCACTTTGCAGGGTATCGCCACTGAGGTCTGATACCACGCTGCCTTGAGCATGCTCGCAAGGTTGTGCTTGCTGGCAAGCTTTGCAAGATCATCGGTGTTTATGAGACAGCAGGCCATGCTTTGTTAGCTGTGAGATGAAAACAACTCGGGCATAGACCTGCCTGGGAGCAGTGCAATCGCGAGCGATGTGGCCGGGCTTGCCACAGTTGAAGCAAGTGACCTCGTGATTTCCATTACCGGATCTACGCAGGTTCATGCTCTCGGTCACCGGTTTCGGACGTGCCTCTGAGCTTTTGTCTTGTTCTGAACCGGGTGCAGCTGCTAGCAAACCTGCCGTGCAAACAGCTGTGCACGGCGCTCGAGAAGCTGGCATCTGAAATCAGCCTTCCCCACAACGTGCTGTCATCACCTTCACCTGGAGTGATTGGAAATCGAAACCAGGATGGATGTTGCTGAATTCAGACGCCTTGACTTGAAGTTCCACTACCAGGCCTCTGATGTGATCTTGACGGTCACGTCGGAGCTTGTGGCGTTGGCAAGCAGCCTGCTCACAATGTCGAAGAACCATGCCCTTCGTCAGTGCAGAGGAAGTGCTTCATAAGGTCTCGACAGCAGGACGGCTCCTTCACCTGTCACCTCGATGTAAGAAGGATGAAATGCGCCGTCTGTGCACAGCAAGACTGCACAAGCGGAAGGTTCACGAATGCTCAGGCCTGAAACAGGCACAGACCAGTGGCGAGGGGCCTCACCAGCCTCGTCTTTGCATGGGAGCCCTTGCCCATCGGCTGTTTCCACCTACGATGCCTTCGAAAGCGTCTTCCAGGCACTGCTGTGAGGCTTAAGCACCTCGTTTCAACATGTTTCAACACAAGGCTCCATGACCTATCTCAGCAGCAGGCAAGGGTGCCCTCAGCTTCTTGCGCGGCATGCAACCCAGTCCTTAACGGTGCTTATCATCTGACCACCCGCGAGACCTCCAGCATGCATCTTAGGGGTTGACAAGGCGGCTGCAGCCAGCTGTGGACAGTGCTCAGGCTCGAGTGTTCGCACACCTAAGCACAGACACGAAGGCTCTGGATGTCTGCATGGACCTGCACGGATTTTATCAATTATATTGCATCAATTGAAACCTGTGTGGCTACCAGGGATGCCCCTGTTTAATTGTACTTCAACCCTGTTGCCAGAAACGGCCAGTGTGAGTCGTTGCTGCACGGAGCCAACTGGCTGTCAGTGTCCACCATCTCCGTAAGAGCCAAGCGTAGTGGCTGCGAGGAGAAGATTCTCATCTTGAAAGGAGCTGCACGTGCCTGTCAAAACAGGCCCCGTCGCATTTCCTATGCTCAAGCTCCGGGGAAGCGGATTGAACTGTGCAAGTGTTGTGGCGTGCCTCGCCCCCGTGCGCGACAGGCCCCGAACCGAAGGAGAACGCTACCAGCCTGACTAGGTCAGAGTAAAGTACTCGCCGGAATCTCACTGCCCGTAGCATAATCTGACGGCTAACAGATTGCTGACCCCATCACGGATGCACATCTGGGAAACGGACAGATATCGTTGACCACGCTCCAAGCTAGCCTGCAAAACGGGCTCAACGGATGGTTCAATGGCACCCAGTCGCACATCTTGACAGTCTGGCTGTGCAGGTCCGGAAACAGCTCAGGCTTATGCTCCTATAGAATGACTTGGAAAGAAACCCTACTAGCCGAAGCTGAACAACCACGGCTTTGCAGATTGGGTCTCACTACACCCTCAAAAAGCAACCACGACTCCGGACTGCCCTATATCCAGCTTTCGCTGCTGGCACCAGACCAACTGCTGAGCAAACATTCAAGCAACCCTAAACCCTAAATCGTGAAGGACTACACCCTAAACCGTACTGGGGAAACCATGAAAACCCTAAAACCCTCAACACTCGGGTTCTCCTTGCCTGGTATATCTTGGCACCTGCAACCTTCAAACCCTAGACTGTACCTTGACGCGTCGCGGGTGCTTGATCGCGCGTGCCTGGCGCCTGAACAGTGCTTGAATTGCTGGTGCTTGAATTGTCGCATGTGCTGAGATCGAGGATGCTTGAATGGCAGTGCTTTTGATCGGGGCCAGTGTGCGAATCGCGTGTTGCCGCGGCTAGGAAACCGATTCCTGCACTGCAAAAACAAACTTCGCGCATGCTGCTACGGACAAAGCAACCACGACCCTCTAACTGCCTCATAACACCCCACACGCCACAAATGGCGACCAATGTCAGGCAACCCCAAACCCTAAATCCCGAAAGCCTCAATTCCGCGAAATGCTAACCGCAAAACACCCGAAACACTCGTCACTCAGTTCTCCTTGCCTGGTGATACCCCAACCCGCAACTCCCTGAACGCCGGCACCTCAAACCCCGACACCTGCACCCTCAAACCCTAAACTCCCTAAACCTACCTGGCGGCACGTCGAGTGCTTGAATCGGTTGGTGCTTGAAACACAGGTGCTTAAGTCGCGCGTGCTCGAAGGGCGCATGCCTGAATCTCGCTTCGTGCTTGAGTCAGTGGTCCTCGAACCGGGGAAGCGTTTGAAATGCTGGTGCTTGAATCATATGTGCTTGAATCGCGTATGCTCGAATCTGGCGCGGCACGTGGTCCTCGAACCGAACCGGTGGCGTGCTTGTTCTGCTGGTGCTCGAATAGCGTGCTTGAAGCAAGAGTGCGGGTCTGTCCGGTCCCACTGGTCCTATCCGGTTCGACAGCGGGACGGTACAGCACGTTTACCATTGGCTCGAAAGCAGCCCGGTCCGATACCCGGCCGGATCTGATAAGAGACGGATTCGCAAAGGACAAGCTACGGAGAGTATCCGGTATACCGGACAGGTCCAAGTCGAGGACGGCACCGGATACTGGGAAGAATGCGGCCTACCTGACAAGTCACTCGGCCGACACCCAAAAAGTCCAAAGTCCCAGGACGAGGTGTCCAGGGGAAGGCGGCGGGTAAGCCAGAAACTAGCTAACGCCAAGCAAACTAACGGGACAGATAGTTCTCGTCGAACGGCTGCGATCGGGTGACGGGCCAGTGCCATGCAACCGGAATAAACAACTTTACGATTCATCGAGACATTCTCCAATGGCACTCTTTTCCAGGTGGCATCGCACGCAGGCTGCCGACACCCTATCAAATCAAGCTTTGAGAGACGTGCCTCCACACATCTTCTGGCCATGATGTCCGCACAGAAGAAGTTGCCTCCAACAACCTTCGAGGAAATCATCTCTACTCCCCAAGCACTTGCAGTGACCCGGATGCTGAGTCTCGCCTGTGGAGGCTGCTGATCCGCACCTGAGGTTTCGTGCTCTCCGAAACTCCAAAGATGAGAGAGGAGATGCAGAAATGCCTCGACGCACTTCTTTTCGCCCGGTGCAAGGTGACCAGGTCGGGGCTGTGGCCTGCAAGGCCTGCTTGGCGGGCTCATCTGTAGCCCTGTAGGAGGGCACTGCCTGGCAACTGCTCTGGTTGAGGCCTTGTCGCCACACAGTGTCAGCAATTCATCGCAGACTATTGTCTTGCGATCAAAAGTCCATGCTTTCACGTCGCAAGACATGAATTGAAGCCGCTGTATATAGCACGTCACACCCGATTCTCGGCTGTTCGGAGAGATGGGAAATGATCGTGCAGGTGCAGGCACTTGCAGGCAATCAAAACTGGCAGAATCAGTCATTATAGTCATTAGTCTGTCTCTGCTTCTTGCATGACGATGTTGTCTTCTTCCGCAAAGTCTTTCCCGGCGAAGCAGAAGTCAAAGACGCATGCATCGAGCACTGCGCGAGGTTTATGGCCTCTCTTCCAGACAAGTTTCGCTCAGTATGTCATGTAAGACAGCGTCAACTGCAGGACAGATTGCTTGCAGCTCGAGATGCCGTGCGATCCACACACGTCCTCTGCTTGCAGGCGCACCTTACTGAGCAGCCCTGCAGAAGCTAACAGCGAAGCTAATTGTGAAGCCACTACTCAACATTCTGCGCCTCGGCGTCACATTCATCCAGCGACCTTTCGACGAAAGCCTGAATCACAGGTCCTCAGGTGCAAAAAAAAAAATAGCTCCTTCCAAAGTTGGCATGTTGCAGCTTGCTGCAGTAGCTGTTCCAGCTCAGTCGCCTGATTCGGGAAATAGCGACTCATCCTGCGACACTGGGCCTCCACTCCTCTCCAGGATCAGCTCCTCACAGTTCAGAACGGCTCAACCAAAACACGCGACTCACCATACGAGACCGCCGGCACTGTGCCTTTGTATCATCACTGGGATCGAAGTTGAAGTTCCCGCAGTGCCCGTCCTACAAGAGCCGGATGTGCGGGGATCGGCACTGGAGCAACTTCAGACATCGTGGCATAAACCGTAACACAACATCAACCGGAGCCCGTTTCAAAGATGTGAATATACTCAACTGCAGCATTGCCCTGCCCGAGGTTGCATTGACCCGGGCCGACACTGTGCGACCGTACCATCCCCGACCGACCTGACCAGTATCCTTACCTGCTGCCCTCTCTGCAGGCGTGCTTTCGCAATTAATTACACTCGAGGTTGTGTCAGAGCGGTTGCAGCTGCTCCTGGCCGTAGAGCTGCTGCGGCATGCGGATGATGGCGTCGATGTGCTCTGGCCAGCGGTTTACCAGAATCTCCACATTGCGGACGAAAAACGCGCGAATCAGCTTCACTGGATAACCTTTCAGAACTTCGTCGATGTGATCATCTCCATCGATGAACTTGATTCGGCTGAAAGGTTTCACAAACTCCGAGGGAATGTGCTTCAAAATGGTGGCACCGTCCCAGGTAACCTGGCCATTCATCGGCTGAATGATGAGGGTCTCGTTGTTCACAAACGGGCCACTAACTGCCAGCTCAATAAGAGCAGACTGGCCCGCAACGGTGAACTTGGTCGTACCATATCGGCCTTTGAGCATGCACAGCATATCACAGCATGCTCTAACTAAAAGCCAAGTGCTTAGCAATTGCAGTTTGGTCCCCTACCATTAGACTCTAGGCTTTCCTCTGAGAGTGCGTAGATCCTTGCTTCTCTATATAACCTTTCCCACTCTGCCGCCAGCATGGTCCGGGCCGGCAGCATACTACAGCTTAGCACCATTTTGGAATCTCGAGCCCCTCTCCATGAACCTGTCTACAGGCTCATCCGCTTCACATGTTTGGTCATGCTTGTATGCAAAACCACACCCAACACACAACAACCCTCGGCTGCCCCGAAATGCCAACTCCCATCCCACCCCACGCACTGACATGGGAGGTTAGGGATATCAATATCATTGCTCTCTCATCAGAGTTCGAACACAGCTTGCACCTTCGTGCGGGCGAAGATGAATTTTGGGGATTGAAACTGACAGGGCGCGAGATACGATATCGTAGTGATGGATCGATGCACCGTGGCGAATCGAAGCATCATCGGTGTGTTGAGTGCGCCTACCCCTGCCTACATTGACTGATTCACCAACCTCACCGTCCATACCGACCCCGCAGGCGTGCTGTTGTTATTGCTATTGTTCGCTCGTCCCTTGCGCGAACAAGCTAAGATCACCTCAACTCAGGCCAAGAACCTTGGATGGAAATATCTTGGTTCTTGACCAACCAGTAGTCGCCACTGGTCAAGATAGAGACCGGATCCGACTCATCTGCGCCGAACAAACCACTGTCAAACACGGAGATGTGCGGATCACCCCAGATCGTGCAGGAGCCCTTCACCGGCACAATGCTGGTCTCCACGCGAAACTCGGAGCCACAACACCGTCTCTCTGCGAAGAAGAAGCTCAAGGAGACCGCAGAACCCTGGGCGGAGTCTCTCTGCGCAGGCTGACTGAGATTCTTCGAGACTAGTCCAAGCCCTGAAAGCCCCTGCCTGAGTTAGGTTCAGGCTGTCCAGGTCGAAGGTCTTCTGCATGGGATTGTGCACACCACCCAAGTCAATGACAAGACGATCATTCCTTGCTGCAATACATCAGCTGACCAAGAATGTGACATCACACACATCCCCATCGGTTGGCAGCCGGGGAGCATGAAGACCCAAACATCATCATCTCCCCGAAATGTAAACTGATCACCACCTTCGCAGGCCACTGGTTCATCTGATTACACCGCACTGACTCGTACCCTGCAACGCATTCCGCCTGCTGCCATCCATCGACGACAGGCCCCTGGGGCCCTGGCTCGTGTACACGAAAGTCGTATGCAGTTCGAGGGTGAAGTAGAAGTTGTGCTCCAGGCCATCGAGCGCAATGGCACTGTCCTCTCGCTCTCGCGACACATGCCTACTCCGTGAGACCCATACTATGTCTGGCCAGATGATTAAGCCTCTCTGCAACACGGTCGTGCGTGAATCTGAGCTGGAGGGTGCTGTCATGTACTGCGTGATCTGCGTGATCCCCATGCCCTAAGCAATCGATGCGCAGCTCCTTCCACCCCTGGCCATCCACAGGGAAAAAGTTCGGATCATCATGCACGTATGTTCCCGTGTCACTCTTGTTCAAATCGAGCTTGAATTCGATCCGCCGATTCACCCCAGGAACATCACGAAACCACTGATCGAAGTTCGACTTGTTCGACAGCTGGAGTCCGCCCTTGTAGACTGGCTTCTTGTCCGGACCGAGGGTGTCTTCCACAAGGCCTTCACTGTGCCCATCCATCGACCTTGGCAGATGCTTCCGAATCTGATGTCTTAGTCTTAGATCCCAGACTTCCCATACCCTCACTCACAAGTCTGCTGAGCAGCTGAAAGTCCGGGTGGTCAGCCTTGAAGTCCCGGATCACCGCATCGAAGAAGATCGTGTCAGGAAATTCTGAGGCTGGCACAGCCGGCTCCTGGCCACAAGGGCATAGCCTGTGCTGAACCTAACCTTTCAGCGAAAGCCTGGGAAGTCCTGCACACCCTTGCGGAGGGCGCTTGCGCGGTTCAGCGCAGCCCGTCCATGCTGCAGCAGAACATGATCTTGCGCACGGGTACTGCAGGACTGGCAAGAGGTCGCGGATACAGCCAGTATCCTGCGATAGAGCAAGTAGCACTCTCGGGAACATGAACCAACACTTGTACGCCGGAACTTGTGATCCCCAGTCAGCATCAGTCTGCGCGCCTGGGCAGCGCGATCAACCACAACCTTGGCTCTGGAGGAGGCTTCAAGGACTAATACATGCATCTCTGCTTATAGAAACAGTCCCCAGATTATAACCTGCTGGACCCGTGCGGTACTCAGGATATGTTGAGGAAGGCTGCTCGAAGCCATGGCTAGCCTTTAGGTTCGCGTTGCAGAGGAAGGGCCATGCTACCAAGTGGCCGCAGCATCGCACTGTTGCAGATGGTACACGGAAACACCGGCAGCTTGACAAATGCCGCAGCGTTCACAACACAATTGGCTGATGTTCCAGGCGTCCCCCCATGAGCACAACTGGCATCTAGAACAGCATACAAAGGAGAAAAGGCCGGCAAAAGCAACGTCAGACTACTGTGCAGAGCGGAACGGAAAAGTAATCCACTGGGATCAGGGCTGATCCGGAGCACCAGCAGGCTGATGTCGCCTCTCGAAAGCAGCCTACGTTGGGTCTAGCGGCCCTCAGCATCGGCAGATTCCGGCGCCTGGCTTGTAGCTTTTCTTGCGATCTTCTCTGCACCAGGATCCTTGCACCAGGACTGGACCCTCAGCCAAGGCCAGTCTCTTCAGAAGCGACCCTGGAGCGATGCCCTACAACCGCCAGGCCTCGCTTCGTCGGCTGCAATGCCATAGCATACAAGGTGGTGGCTGCATCGCAGTGCAGCTCGTAGAAGTACTGGAAGCAGCACCGGCAGGCTCTGAGAGGGATGGGTGGGATTGAACAAGCTCCCACAAATCGACCTTTCGAATCACTGCTGCAATCGGTCCTTGCATATCCGACTTCCAGAAGACTTTGCGCAGAAAGTGTTGGGGAAGCTTGCAGCGTGCCAGCCGCGATGAGCCAGGCCTAGATGCGGATCGAGCTGCCCTATCCGGGTCCCGTGTGTAGAACCGCTCTGGTAAATAAATCCATGCCCATGCCATACCATGTCTACCAATTCTCATGCTCCATCGGTGCTTGGTCTAAGATCTCGCAGAGTGCCTGTGGACCTAAGGCATGACATGCCTTCCCGCTCGTTTGCCCACATACGGCTTCTGCCAGGCTCAGGACCCAGCAAACATCGACGACCTTGCAACATCTCGACTGTCTAAGGCAATGTCAAATTTCTTGTATCCTGACTTCGCTTACAAATTCACTGCATCGCGGGGCAAGACCAACTGAACACGCGGCTCCAGAGTGTCAATGATGACTGAACACAGCTAACCACGGAAAGTGGAAGCACCAGTGCGGCACGCACGCCAAAATACGAAGCACGAAAGCTGAAACACTGAAAGCTCCTGCTGAAACGGCCACAAGGCCGGGCAGCCTGAAATCCCATCAGGAAGTGCGTATAGTCCATCCAGAACGTACCGTCGTCAACCTGACGCCGAAGCATCGAGTAATCTAGTTCATTGCCTGCTGCCGATGACGAGTTGCAATGCGAACATGGAATACCGACTACCTTGAACCTGCGAGCCGTTGGGGTGCGGGCGCCAGTGCATCCCAGCTCGCCTTGCAGAGCTTTGCGAATGCCGGAGACAGCCCGCACCAAGTCAGCCAAGCTGCTCGAGAGTCTGTCAGTCCACTCTGCGGATTTGTCACCTCGAGTCTCAAGCAGAAGGAAGTGAGGATTGGAGAAGAGTGAGGCGTTGGCTCCATTCCCCGTTCCACTCGCCTGAGACGAGACGTCCGACGAGAGAGGGCTCATTACGCCTCGGCCTGGGCCAACCTCTAAGTCGCGAGCCCATGCCATGAGGATTCCGTATGCGAAGCAAGCGAACAAGCCCATCCTGAACGCACGCGCACACGAAGGAGGATGCTCGCCTGAGGCAGTTCTGACGGCAAAAGAAAAACCGATCGTCTTTTCTGTATCGGAGACATGCTCTTGACATGAAGCATAAGCCTGTACAGTGCGGCATGCGATCATCAATCGAGCTGCACAAAATCTCCCAATCACTCTACAATACCGTTTGGCAGCTGTAGAACTTGAGCGTCTTGCCTACATAGCCTGTTGAACGGATTTCGACCGTCAGGCCATGACAAAAGTCGAAGCGAGCTAGCTGCTGGGAAGGCTCAGAAGGTCGAAGCAGCTTAGAAGCATTACCTCAATGCCCGCACTGAAGATAACCCTGCACAGTCCCGGTGTTCTTGAAGACACGGACAAAGCTGCAAAAACATGCTGAAGCCCTGGAGACCAAGCATCTCCGAGAAGCCGCAGAACCCCTTCCTCATTGACCGCGCGCTGGCCTGAAAGTCGCTCAACAGCTGAGGGCTGATTCTACTCCTTCTTGGGATTCTCTGCCTGCTTTCCCTGTCCAGATGCACCACTGCTGAGGAGCGCACGTTATGTGCTCTACGGGCGTTGGCACCTGGAGCACCTGGATCGTGCCGACGGCCGCTTCTCTAGTCTCGCAACAGCAAAACCCGCCAGTGTATATTTAGGACTTGGGAACATCATAGATTTTTGCATTGGCCATCCTTGGTACATGAGCTATTCCTGTGCACCACAAGCTTTGCGTGTTGTGCACCGGTATTCGCTGGTTAGGATGCGTGCCAGGGCGGTATATTTTGTAACGACACCCGGCGGCACCGACGAGTCCATCTCAAACCCAACGGAAAGCACTGGCAAAAAGGCGGGGGGCCTTGACGAAGTTCTTCAGCGTGCGTCGGATCTCATGACATGCTATCTGAATCCTGCGATTCTCCCGCTGCAGCATAATGATGTCCAATGCACTGGCTTGGCCTGTCATTCGGGCGACAAGTCAGCACGAAGGATTAGCCGAACAAGATTCATTTGCACTCGAAACGTCCCCGTCAACGCACATCCGTGCCTTTCAAGTGGAGGATGCCCTTGCAAAACTCCTCAATTGTGATGACGCCATCACCATCATCTAAGATCTCGAAGAGCGGATCGCAGTCTTTAATGTTGACTTCCAACAGACTCAAATAACTTCGAACTTTTGGAAGACCAAGTGTGGAAAAGAATTCTTCTGGAGTAAGATTTCCATCTCCATCTTTGTCTGCTGCAAGGAATACTTCGCGCAGCTTCTCCTTGTACACGCGAGTTCTCCGGGACTTCTCTTTCAATGCCACGGCGGCATCATCGTCAGCACAAGTCAGCGTTTCTTTCAAGAACAGGGCGGTCACGATACGAATAACTGCGAAAATCACCAAAGTTACATATATCAGAAATGGAACTGCGAAACCCCAACCAAGCTTTTCCAGGACCGGTCTCACGAGAAGTGGCCATCCACCACTGTGTGTAATTTCAAACCTCATTTCGAAGACAACGAACCAAGCACTACAATGCATGCAGAGATGGGCTTCAAAGTGAATCTACAAAGACGACCAAGGCATGACCAAAACTCGAGGTTTTTCAGGAAGTTAAGACCTACAGTTTTCTGGCAGGCTTCGAGGCTTTGCGATGTGTGTTTTTTGAGTCGGGGCGACATGTCAGCACGCACACCGCAGAGAACTGGCTGCTCGGACTCACTTTTCCTCACTCGCTCGTCCGAATGCGTGCATGTCGATTTCGATGTGGAACTGCTGTACTTCGAGACCAACTCGAAAAGGGACGCTAGCTGCACCCGAGACCGTTCGTTAAACGGACCTTACGGGTGGGAGGGTTGGATAAAAAAAAGTTCGAGCACAATGCTGTGCGATTGTGGCTGGCTGACATGTCACTAATCACCGAAGTCACCGAAGGTGACACGAGACATGCCAGTGCGCACAATGCAGAGAACCGGCTACTCGGACTCATTTTTCCACATTCGTTCGCCCGAATGTGTGCATGTCGATCTCGATGTGGAGCTGCTGTACTTCGATAACGCCGACAGCCGTTCCACAGCTTCACGGCCCATCATGTGGGTTGCCTGCAAAACGCCACTCCAGCTGCAATGCCTCCATGACGCCGTGACCGCAAGCATACTCCATATCCTGGGAAAGCTTCATATCCTGGGAAACCTTGAACAAAATCTGCCACAAGGGATCCAATCATTCTGGAAAAAAGCCAACCCTCGGCCAAAACAATCTGAAGAAAACCCCGCGGGAGCTTGTCTGATATGTTGGCGGAGCTGGCCACCCGTTCGAAATGACCCATCCAGCCCACACACATGGAAAGATGATGAAGCCATGCCAGGAGAAGGTTGACGCAGTCGTCCCGGCCATATCCCTTGGCCAGTGCTGCGCGACTGGCCTGATTAGCCACAAAAGCAACCCAAACATTGGAAAGTCTCCTTCGGTTCCTCAGCAATCCAACAGCTTGTGCCAATATCTCGAGAAAAAAGTATGTATGTATGTATATATATATATATATATACATATGTCTATATATATATATATATGCTCCCTGGCGGCAATAGACCTGAATCCAAAAACTGGGAGCAGAAAAATGCGCAACGGTAATGCTTGCAGTGGTCCGGCACACATAGCACATAGCCAGGCCTGTTCTTGCACCTGTGAATGCGATCCACTGGCCAACGCTTCGGCACAGTCTTTGATGACAGCATCCAGCGACGATCGCTTAACTCAAAGAAAGCGCCAGCATAAAGAACGGAGACGGGCTGGACCTGATCTGAACGTGTAGACACGAGGGTCGAGGGTAGGTTTGGTTGCACCCCCTCTGAAGCCACACCGATCGCCTCCTGTTTGCTCCTTTTCGAGGCGAAGCATTGCGACCTTTTTGGAGTCTCCGAGACCTCTCCAGTATGGACAGGCCTTGACAGCACACCACCATTGCGCTTGTCACCCAACTTTAGGAATGTTTTCTTCTTGCACACTCCATGTGTACCTTGCCTGCATACCTTTTACCCACACATATACATGCATGCGTGGCACTCCCCGACAGACCCACATGCTGCCTCGGGGCTGCCGCCCGCCACTGACGACTCACCAGGCCAGGCTCCTGGCTCTGCCTTTGCTTTCATGCTACTGCTCCGACAAGGGACAGTGGGGGTGCCTCCTGAAAGAGAGACAAAAAGATAGAAAAGGCACCCACTCGCTCTTCTTTTTTGGCGGAGGTTGCTCGGCTGCAATGCTGAGCGCGGCGTTGCTCGTAAGATACAGACGAGGCAACGATGCCGCGCTGCTACCCGCACTTTAACAACATCCAAGTAACCTCTGCCGCATATGGTCAAACCAACACAGAAAGCCGGTCACTTTGATTGGGCGCAATGGTCAACTTCCTTGAGAGCAGGTGGCGTTACGAGGCACGTCCCCATCGTGGAAAGGATGAACACTGAACACGGCGAAGGCACCCCCAGAAAGGAAATCGAGGAACCAACAGCCCGAGCACAAGCAGGGTTGCGGCAACGGAGGTACGAGAGCACACCTGAGTAAGGGTTACGAGGTTGCTAAAGAGCACCTGCAACCACATCCCCTCGAGGAAGAAAAATGGCCGCCACATTTGACTTCATTAAAGCATGCACGCATGGTGCATGAGTCACAAGGCTGTGCAACGGGCGGCATCATGACAAATTGAGGGCACGAGTGCAGGGCCCTTCTTTGCCTGCATGCTGTGCCTGCGAGTGGCGCAGTGCTTTCCATGGAATGTGCTGGAATGCCGCATCGGGGCAATTGAGAAGCTATCTCAGGCATTGCGCTCGCCGGGGTACAGCTTTACCTTACCCTTTTATTGGGTCCTCCATGAATGGCGCTGACTCGATCTAAGTCCGTTCGCTTATATGCACATGAGCTTCGCAGCGGCCTTTGCTGTCATCGTCGGGTTTGCTCCTACTCCAATTAGAGTCAGTGGGAATCGCAGTGCCTGGCACGCTTGCATCGGTTCTTGGACTCAGTTCGTTTGCGTAAGTTTGGGGGACAGCAAAAGCAAGAGCAACAGCTTAAACTGAAACATTCGAAGGGCATCGTGTACATGGTGTACCAGAAGTTGCCGTAGAGGCCGTAGATCTCCAGGCGCGCGGCGATGTCCAGGGATGGATCCAAGAGAAACGGATGGATGGCTTGGCAAATGAGCAGCGAGAAGCCCAGCTTCAACACCAACATCAAGGTCATTGACCAAAAAAGTGCACCAATGCTAGCAATGCATGTGCTGAGTAAGACCCGCAAAGGGTGGAACAAGTTCACTGTCTTAACAATCCTCAGAGCTCTGAAGATTCGCATAAGCTTCAATATTCGAATGCCTCTGGTACTCTGATCTGTCTCGTCACCGACCAAAGACAACGCTGGAAGCAGAAATAGCTCGATGGCACTTATCAGCACCAAGGTAGCATCCATCAAGTTCATGTACATCACTCCGTCTATGTGGTGGTACATCCACTCCAAGCGCAGCGTAACCACTCGAATGAGGACATCCAGCAAGTAGATCGAAAAGAATGCATACTCCAAATCATCGATGACGTCTTCCGGACCGCCAGTATATGTCTCCTGGAGCCCTAAGCCAACCTTTGCCCGCTCTCCCATGAGCTCTGTCTGCCAGATCATCAGCACAACATTCACGACCACCACCAGACCCATGTACCAGTCCAAGGGTCCCAAAACGAAAGCTTTTAAACGAGGCAGCGGCTCTCGATCGGTCAGCAGAAAGTTGTTATACATATCCAGGAAGCCACTTGCGGAAGCCTCTTTTTCGGGCGCCTCAGGGGCACATGACAAATTCAAATTCATGACCAACCACGGAGCCTGTCCTCTCAAAACAATAACACTTTGTCACCAGGATGCGTTTGCATTTCCATCTAGGCTCATCTGGGAATATCGCTTCCAGGAATCCAGTTCCGGCTGCATCATGACGTAGCCGAGGTCGGTCTTCGAGTCTTGCTCATCCAAGACCTTCTGCTCGGTGCCTGCTTGTTCGCTCGTCCGACGTGGTCCCGTGACACGCCAGCAGACTCATGGACAAGAAGACTAGCACCTAACTAGGCAAAGGGGACACGCGAGACCAGCCTGATAGCATTCTGAGCGTTGTCTTCTCCGAATCCTGACACCAAGAGTCTTGGCCACGCACAGGCTCACAGACTCATATCGGCTGGCAGGAAACCAGGAATGCTGCTGAGATTCCACATACTGCGACGACGGCGACTCATATTTACTGTCAAGCAGCAGCTGGCGCAGGAAATCCTTGCCCAGGCACAACGCACAATGACACAGATGACACAGACACACTGTTCCCCTCAAAGACTTCGAGTCAGACGAGCTGTACCTTGAGAACACCCCATCCACTCTGGTAGATCTCGCATTGCCTAGCGGCCCTGGCTTACTGCTCTGGAGGCCTAGCCGAAGGCTGGTACCTAAAAATGAAGTGGAACGTCCCTCCCTAACATTCCGGTGCCTCGTGCCGCTCGAAACGGCGATCCAATGCTTCTACAAAATCACCAAGGCTTCCGCCAGGACAAGAAGGCGTCGGCATATCTATGAAGCCGGCCGCATACTACCGCTACGCCGCTTCTTGGCCCCTGAGCCGAAACTTGCCAGCTTCCTGTCTTGCCTTTGCTGTCACTGGTCATCACTGGTCGCTTTGAGAGCCGGAGAAGGTCTGATAAGAAGGAGCATCCCTGCCTGCTGCGCACCTCCGTAGCCGAACTCCTTCAGAAAGGATAGTTAGATAGCCGGCTTCCCAAACTGGGCAAACCGACGACAACAGCGCTCCCTGCCGATGAAACGTTGATCATAGAGCTCGCGGACATCCAGCACGCTGTAAGCATGGTTGCCGCACAACCCGACCTCGTGGCCAACTATGGTAAGGGCACGAAAACAAGACAGGCCACCGCATGCTTGAGAGTGCCTCTCGCAGCTCAGGATTTCCGGCAGTGGCACAGCCCATTGGAAAGCCTTTGGCCTGCACCCAAACAAGTTTGCAAAGGAGAGTCGACCCACAAAATTCTCCAAAACGAGCCTTGAAATCCAGGAGCCTCTCCCACAGCTCCTGGGGATCAAAGCCGGGCCTCCGAAAATGCTCCAAAGGACAAAGGGGAAAGCTGTGAAACTCCGACGGGTATCGTGCTCATCGAAGTCCATGCTCTCCGTTGGGCAGCCGGTGAGGTCCAAGAGTGCCTTCAGAGCAAATCCCCCGGTTTGACAGACCCCCGCCTCCCTGTACTGCGGGCCAGGCCTCGGCAATCTCGCCACCGCTGATCGCACGATACGAGCCATGAGCCTCCAAGCAAAGCGAAGCGTGCTCTCTGCGCTCCTGCGCTCTTTTCTGAAACCCAACAGATGGCATCTTCAGACGAACAGCTTGCCTTGGCATACGCCTTTTCGAGCAGAGGCGTCCAAAGCTGCTGCCCGTCCGCACCTGGGTCTGATCACTTGGTTTGTCCGGCCGTGACCTGTTACACCTGTTGCGCTTGCACGGATGGTCTACAAGCTTTCTCGGACCCTTGCGTGATAAAGCCAAGCACATGGGAATCACCCTGCCAATTTTTGCTGCTTTCACCTTGATGGTTCGCTCAGAGATCTGAGAAGCTTGGTCTGTACGGATGTGAGACGTGCCTTCGACGAAAAGAGTTTCCGGCAAGCTTCCGCTGCTGAGATGCCTAGACCTAGACGTTGAATTAGGCCCACATGGCAGGACAGAGCTGCATGAACCGAGGCGTTTTCGCGCAGTTTGCACATGGGCCACTCCCCACTGGGAGACAAAATCACTTGCAGCCAGGGCAAAGCGCAAAAAGCGCCCACGCCTAATGCGTATGCCCAATCACTCACGCATAAAGCGTCCCACGTCCAGGAGACTGAGTCGCAGCCTCAAACTCCTGCCAATCTTCTCCGGTCACACTCGAGTCCTACCCCGTAAAGCCTGTCTCTGCATGAGATGCCTTCACTCACAGCACACGTCTCTTGACTAACACCGCCTATGGCAAAGGGTTCCTCAACAGTAAAGATTGTGCAACTTGAAGTGTGCAGGTTCCCTGGTTTTTGGACTGGGTGGCCTGTCTAGAGCAAGATTAGAATAGCTTCTGCAAGCTATAGGCTTCTAAGGTTGCCTGTAAGGAGGGCTTGACGTTGGTGGAAACCTCTGCAGCATCGGGCGCCGTGTCTGCCGCATAAGGCAAAGATGAGGATGATCGTGGAAAGCATCGCCTCTAGCGAAAAGACTCGCCCCTACTCGAAAGCAGCGGCTGCCTGTCAACCCGTGATAGAAACATGACTTTCTGTGAGTGCCAAGAAGATCCAAGAAGTACCCTTGTCTAATCTTGTCTCGGCCCCTCTCCAAGCTCAGGTCCCCCTCTGTTCTCCTGCGTGGGCACCTCGGGTACTGCGAAGCGTCTTGCCTCGCGCAGGAAGCGCTCGAAAACCTGAGGCTCCTGAGTGCAGTGAGCACGCCCCACTGGTGTCGCCAGCCGCTAGACCATGCTAGACCGCTAGACTCTCTCCTCCCGGGCTTCCCCGCCCCAGCCTCTGCAGACTCTATGTCCACGCCACAGCTGCAGGGATTCAAGTCTGCGTACCAGTCGTGATCTTCCTTGGCTTCACTTCTTCCCTTCCTCTCTTTTGCCAGAGCCACATACTTCCGACAAGTTACAGCTTTCAGCTGCCAGGGCCACCAACGGTTTGAGCAGCTGCCATCCTGTGCTGACAGGACAAGAATGAAAAAGACTGGCAGATACGGTTCCCAAGCTGGCTCATGAGGACGGACGCGAGGCCTCTATGCCACATTTCTTGAACTCTCTGCCCTTCCGAGCTTCGTAGTAGATCTCCTTGGACAATACGTTGCAGCGCAACCCTGTAAAGAACAGAGCCAGCTCAAAGATGCAGACAGGTATCTGGCAACGCATGCTGGAAAAGTTCGGGACCTTCCCGTGCAATCACCGACACAGCTACCATGCTTTCTGGCACCGAAATCTGTTAAAGCCGCCTCGCGGTGGCAAGTGAACAACTATGTCCTGGCAGCCGTGCTCGTCGACAATGAAAATTCAGAGCGTCAGTTCGCATCTTTGTTCCATCTCAGTCCTGGTAGTGCGCCACGCGCCATGCATCAGTGCTCCCAAGCAGAGCCCTGAGAGCTTGCCCAAACAATGCATTGCCTCGGAGGTTGCTGCCATGGCGACATATGAAAACAGCACAGTCCCTCACCAAATGAACCCTCGAAAACTGCCGCAGCTGCATTGCAACTACTGTCGACTCAAGTGGGGCCACTGTCTCACAACTCTGATGCCTCCCCGCCTGGACGTGGCGACTCGAGGGCATACATATGCTGCACGGTGTAGTTCTTGACCAACGCATCGAACATGAAGTAAGACAACGATGCCGCCCCCTGCGAATGACCCACCAAGTAGAGGGGCTCTTGTTGGCATCCAAAGTCCTGTAGGGCGCGGAAAAGTCCATCCTTGATCGACAGATAGGCCAAGTGGAATCCTTGCACGACTTGGCAACCGGGGCAAATTCCCTGCTCGAAGTCTGCGAGCCAGAAGGCCGCATCCAAGAGAGAGCTGATTGTCCCGAAGGTTCCACGAACGGCAACGAAACAGCCTTTAGGCTCCAGCATCTTCCCAACACCTGCGGCTGCTTGTGTATTCGAGCTGGTCACCCATCGCAGCCGCGCTGCATCGACCTTTGGTGCTTTAGTTTTCGACTCGCCGACGTCCCATTCGGTAAATCTCCTCTCGCCACAATACACTGCCTTCTCCAGATATGCCAGGGACAAGCCCACTTCCTCATCGTAGGCCACGCCGCAAGTGAAACAGCCAAGCAGACACAAAGCACGTGCTCGGCTAGACATGGCTGAAGACACCGGCACTAGTCTTAGAGGTGTGCGGTTGCTTGGACTGCGACCAGCTCAATAACATGCTGTCATGACGCCACAACTGGCAGCCATGTGATTTTGCTAGTGTGGGTAGACCAACGTGTCTCACTGGAAAAACCTTGAGGGAAGCAGCGAGAGACTCCGCAAAAGCCTGCTACAGAGGCACTCTCGTGGTTGTTGCGCCGGCTTTGTGCCATACTGTTCCAGGTCATGTGCACTGACTCTCTGCCGAGGCTGTCACGGCTGAAAGCCAGTCCACTTCCGTCTGGTCGTCTTTGCTGGTGCGTGCCTCATGATCCAAAAACCCACAAGCCCGTAAGCTAAAGTCGGCAGCCAGGAGGCACAAGTCGAGAAACCAAGACGGGTGAGTTGGGAAACTGAAACGGCCGAGCGGCGAAACACGACTTGGCGGAGTTGGAAACAGGTGGGACGAGAGTCGGAAAAGGACGCCGGCCAGAAGATGCCAGAAGCCATCACCAAGGGTTGTCTCCCAAAACTTACAACCCTTCCCCCGAATAGTGCAGAATGGATGGCAAGCCCAATCCCAAAAAAATAAAAAAGCAATGTTTGTTCCCAAAATCCCCAAAACCCCAATCAATGGAATGGTTGGTTACGAAAGTCCCAACCCCAAAGAGTGCCCGGTTCCCGAAACCCCAAACCTTAAAAGTGGCGGCTGCAAAAGACCCATCCTAAAAAGAGTGAGATCGTGTTGAATCGGCTTCCGTGCCTGACTGGTTACTGGTCCACAACCACCCCAAACCCCAAAAGGAATGCTGCAGAATCCAGAAGTCCTACAGGCCCCAAACGGACCGGCTGCTTCCTCGAAACCCAAGGTTAACTTGGACAAGTGAGCATCACGAGCCCTATCGTAAGAAACTCCAAAACCTCCTCAGCACAAACGCGCAGGATCCACCCTTCTGAAACCCAAACCCTCACAAGGAGAAAGTGCCTGCGGGAAACTTCGAACCGAAATGGATTCACCATCCACGAAGACCGGAAACTCCTTCATAGAGTTGCTGCAGAATCTCAAACTGCCAAGGAGTGACATGTTGCCAAAAATCAAATACTTTCAACCCTAAAACGAACTACTTGTTCAAAAAAACCACAAAATGGTAACAATACATAAATCTTAAGGGCAAGAGCGAACAGCGACTGCTTATCCGAAACCCGAAACATTCGACAGAGTGAGCGGTTGCGGGAAACGGTGACAGGACCCCAAACCCCGGAAAGGGTGGCTGCAGAATCCCAAATCCTGAAGCGAGTGACCCGCTGCAACCTTGTCAAAGCCTTAAGAGCTACAAAGGCATTTTGTTGAATCATTTGTTGGTTCTCAGTCCTTTTGTGATGCTTGCCTTCGGGCCTTGGCCCTGTTTCCGACTCTCCCACTCCGGCCCGTCTGGTCCGAAGCCTCACTGCTCTGGCCCACAAGACCCACGAGAGAGAGTATGGCCACGACAGCTACAGGTAGGACAAAGAAAGGAAGCAGAGTCAATCGAGCTCGGATACTGTTTGCTTGCTTGGGTCGGGTCTGTGTTGTCATGAAGCTTGACACCAGCAAGATGACAGCATTCTACAGGCCCACATACAGATACACCCTTGGGGTGATACCTTGACCGACCTCATTGTGCCAAGCAATAACTCGGCCATCTGCGAGCAGCTTCTAACTGTCCTGGTGGTGGCATAGCTAATTACGGAGGCATCAGACTTGAACGCGTTACGAAGACGCTCTCGACCAAAACAGACAAAATGCAAGTTGCCAGGTTGTTTGAACAGATGGACCTGAATGGGGGGAGGGGCCTGACTTTGTACAACAGCGGGGGCCCCCACCTTACTGCCGCTGAATCAATCACTTGCGTGGTGTGGGTTGGGTGGGGGGGTGGGGAGGGGCCTCCTCGCCGCCCTAACTATTTTGGGAGGAGCAGATAAGGTCGACACGATCTTCACCTGGGTCACTGCTACTTAGGTGAATTGATAAACGACAACTCCCGCAAGCTCCACAGAGCTAGCTTCAGTGATAACACCGAATTAGGCTCTGCAGATTCCAATTATTGTGCAACTTCAGCGACTGCGGCTGCGGCAAGGCAAACGGTCATCTATGGTGATTGCCTCGGACGGTGACTGAGACTCTTCGACAAGTTTGCGAAAAGCTGCCAGGCTTGGCACACGACTCTCCACTCGCCATCCAGAAAGAGGTTCAATTGATAGCAGCCTGCTTGATTCCTGCCATGCAAGAACGAGCTTGCACTGCAGAGGATGTGGCACCTGGTCGACCACTGCGACTCTACGGATTCTCTGCATCGAAACCTGCTTCCATCTCCCTGTCTCTCGTCCTGGCTGTGTCGCCGAAGAGCCGCAGCACCAGGTCCGGACGCTCTGCCACCACTGCCAACGCCTCCAGTCGGAAGCCAGAGCTGCTCCCATGTACAAATGTAAGAGCTGAGCAACGGGCTGACATGAACCAGCAGTCACCCACGCCACCCTGCCGCAGGTCCTGCTGCTGCTTTCTCGCCCCAACACTGATATGATGTATAACTCTCGGAGCCTCCGCACGAAAACCGAAGTCGCTGACGATCATGAACTCCGGAAAGCGCTGCCACCAGATCTTTTCGCGACCTGCCACGTTGTCCCTGGGCTGTCTTCGATCCGACTCTTCGCACAGACTGAGCTCCTGACGTCGATGATCTGAGTCTGCCCAAGCGAAGAAGCCACAACGACGTTTCTGCGAGGCTCTGCGGTGCAAATCTCGCTTACGGAACCGTGCAGATCAATCGGCTATCACCGGCCGGCCTCGCAATGCCAATACAGGCGACCCTGCACAAAAAATACAAGAACGAACTCGCTGTCGGTATCCACATCACACTGCGAACTGCTCCTTGGTCGGACCATCTTTGCGCACCTGCTCCGCAGGCTCAGTCACACAACAGCTGCAAACTCCGGACTGCCTCTGACTTCGTGGAGGCTTGGCCACAGCGGCATTGAGGCGGCTCATTCGGAGATTTCACTGCATCCTGCAGGGTGCAGTCATGTGCAATCTCTGCTGTCCCACTGCGAATTGAAGGCCCAAGGCCTCCTCGCGCCCGCAGATTGATTTCCTAAGAAGGGCGCCGAACGGCGAACGGTGCTTCCTCACATGGACTGCGAGTCTGCGGCCCCCACGGCTCTGCCGGAAATTCGGGGTCTTCGTACGGAGCCTAGCCAAGGCACCACAGCGATGCAAAGCTTGGATTCAGGATCAGCGTTGAAAGACAAAGGACCGAACACCTGGCCAAGGCTGGAAGTCTTTTCTGCACGCAGCGCTGTATGGCTGGCTCTGAAAATTGGGTATAAGTACACGTGCTACTCACAGCCACTTGCCAAAGACAAGCTGAAGCTTCGACTATCCAGCAGCAGCTTGTTGGCTGCCCTACGCCGCGACAGCAAGAACGAAAAGAACTGCATAATCCTGCTTGTTGCAGCCAGTTTGTGGGGGCATCGATTCGCCTGGCAGAGGCAGATCACAGGAACAGGGGGATTTAACTCCTTTGAGCACTCTGGCAGACAAACAAACGGGTTTCTTCTTGCTTACCGTATTCCATGTGCACAGGTATATTTTTCTGTCGAGCGCAAGAGGGCTCTCAACAGGCTTGTGAAAATGCAAAAAGCACGAGTAGAGGTACACTAGGACAGTGAGACAAGTTCAGTAGTCATTGAGGATACATTACCTTCAAGATATTTAGCGCTGCAATGAGTAAACGGAAATGGAAAAACTTGGCACCACACTTCCCAAGCAACAATGACGACATTACCGCGACGAATACCTCGAGAGGCCGATGGCCTTTGGGACAACGTCCCGATGTATCAATTACCTGTTATGCAGCAAAAGGCTTGACGATTCCTGGCTGATTGTTTGATCTCATTTTAATGTTGTATGTTATTGACGTCAAAGGCGTTAGCATCTCCATGCAGTAGACTATACGCACCTTTATAGGCTTCGGTGGTCCAGTCTGCTTTGGGCCTGCCTGGCCGCCTTTTGGTGGGAGCTCTAGGTGTCAATCGGTCTGTTTTGAAAGTAATTTGAACTAGAGGGTCTGCTGGGCTGGCTCGCAATGTGTCCAAAAAGCCTAAACTTTGCCTTGCGACATGCGTCCACAAAGTTTTCAAAAGAACAACCGTATTCGTTGCGTATGTTATCATACATGCTGACATTGGTCTGTTCTCTGTCTATGAATGTAGGTGGGATGTGTAAGATCCTTCTCAACGATTTGTTCTGGAAGGCATTTAACGTAGAGAGCTCCGCACTCGTTAGCTGCACACATTCTAACCCATGAAGTAATTCGGAGCGGACGATAACATTGAATACTTGGATATTCCACGTTGTACTGTTGTTAGCTTTATTCCAGAATAACTTCAAGCGGTTGCATGTAGCTATACAGCCACCGATTCTGTTAGAAACTTCAGCTCTATTGTCGAAGGTGTCTGTTATTAGGGTTCCGAGGTAGGTGGCAGAGCTTTTTCTCGGTACAAGCCTGCCTTGAGCCGGACCTGAGGGGGAATCTGACAGAAGATTGCCTTTGGTTCGCAGTGAGATTAACACCCTTTCCATAGTTCAGAGTGAGACCATAGCAGGCTGAATGTCTTTCTATTGCATGAAGAAGAACATTAACACAATGTGTACTTGCCCCGAATAGGAGGGTGTCGTCCGCATAAAGTATTTCCGAGAAATAAATGCCATCAACGGGCTGATGCTGCCTGGGAGTGTTGAGTTCAACTTTGATATCCGAAAAAAGGGCTCCCATGACTAAGCAAAATGAATAAGGTGAAAGAGGGCAGCCTTGTCTTATACCTGTATGTTGAGTTAGCCATTCAGAATCATTTCCATCCATACTAACTCAGCCTTTTTAAGGTTTCGATAAGTTTACGCTGAAAGATCTTGTCGAAAGCCATTTCCCAATCTAAAAAGTATCATGCTGCTACAGTTGGATTTCTCTGCCATATCTTGCAATCTTCTGGCCACGAAAATTGCTTGACTTGTACTCTTACCTTTACGGAACCCATATTGTGTTTGCATAAGCCATGCGTCCAACCCTTTGTCTGATCTTTCTTTAACTAGTGCAGCAACAATTTTGTAGCATGACATCAACAACGAAATCGGTCTATAATTTTCAAGAGAAGTAGAGTCACCATTTGTGTATATCGATACGACTAAGGCTTTGAGGATTTGTTCGGGGACTTCTCCTCCTTCAAGACATCTGTTTGCCGCATTCCATAGACAAGATTTGTCATCTTTGTCTAGCCATTTAAAGAGCTCACCAGGCACTCCATCGTGGCCTCGCGTCTTTCGAGCTTTAATTCGTCGACATACATAATCCACTTCATCAAGGGTGCATGGGGATTCATCTACAACATATGATCCATTCTTTATTGGATTGCTCTCTCTAGACGGCTGAGGCGAGAAGGAGGTTGACGAAGAGGAACGACCCCATGGGGTTTTAGATAGGTACTCAGCAGCTTTTTGATGATATTCAGCTTGATGGATACATGTACCGTCCTTGTTCTTGAACTTGGTGAATTTGGGAGTGAATTTAGCACGGAGACGTTTGAGGCCACTCCATTTATATCCTTGCCCTGTAACTGCTTCGAGTTCTTGAAGGAGGTGGTTTTCCTTATCCTTTTTGGCTTGTAAAGGAGCCCCATGTGCGTTGCGAATTATGCTCCTTCTTTTGCTGAGGAAGTTGTATAGGCAAGTAATCAGTAATCCTTAGCGGATTGGAGAAGAATTGCGTTCAACTGGTCGAAGGTTAAATCTGCACACTTCGTATTATGTATTTCCTGTAAGACTTTACTGGCGACTGCGGCATTGAATTGATTTAATTGAACGTTATCCGGTTTACGCAACTTCATCTTCGAAGTGTTTGCTTTAGGAGGGCTGGCTTTCAGCTGAAACTTCACACTCGCAACCAATAGCTTATGATCTGTATCTATAGTGTGAATGTAGCACAGGTATCTTGGTCGGGTATAACTACACCCTACACCGGCTGTGAAGCCTTTCGCTGCGCTTTCACATCTATCACCAATGGGTCGGGTTTTTCTGCGCCTCGAAACCTGGGGGGGAAACCGACCGTGTCTGTGATCCCCTGCGATGCACCTGGTCGGACAGGAAACTGCAGCTCCAAGTCGTTGGTGGGCTGGCACGAGCCGCCTCCGGGCGTGTAGCGAGCAGACCTGCACGGAAGGTGGGTCACGTCGTAGAGCTTCCCCTTGCCGAGGCTCCACTTTTGTGCTCCACTTGCATCCTTCTCGGAAACTGTCAACGTTGTCGTCACTTCGCGGTCTCCGGTCACCATGTACTTGCCCGGGGGTAAAGGGAACCTGAGATTGACACTATTGACACCCAGCAAATTTCGCAATGCAAGGCAAGCCACAACATTGGCGGTTTTCGGTGCAGCACTACAGGGCAGCAGATTACCAGAGCGGGAAGGTGTGGCAAACCCTAAGTTGCTTCGAGGTGGTTTGCCAACGCTTAGGCTATGGTTATGGAATGGAGAGGGTTGAGGGTTGCCAACTGATAGAGAATTGAAAAACACTTCAGATGTCGGGCGACTCGGGCTTTTCCATGATCAAGCCATGCTCCTCCAGCCACCAATCGTTTTTATCGAATTCCCACTTGGCAGGGGCGACGCCTCCCCGAGCCATAAGCTTATCGTAGTTGTAGAGCTTCACACCACGGGGCCCGGGATCTTTTCTCCACAAGCCCCAGTTCTCTGCTCCAGTTCCGGAACTGGCCGAGGGGTCTGAAAGCGCAGCAATGTACTGGATGTCCCGCAGCTGCTTCCACTCGACCTTGGATTCCTGAGCCACGGCCGGGCTGGAAACCGCAATACCTGGCAGGGACGCCAGAAGTCCACGACGGCCAAGAGCAGAGGCATCCTGTGACTCCTGTGCAGTCGCACAGCCCGCCTTCTCCTTGCCCTGACAAGCGAACGCCTCTGGGTCCGGGCTTCGCGCTTCGTAGAAGAGGACAACGAGAGCCGCAACAAGGGCTGCTGGCCTCGCGCGGCCTGCCCTCATGGCTTTGGCAAGACTCGTGTGGCGTCCCTATCACCCCTTCTGAAACCGTGCAGTGATATGGGCCGCGTAGTCAAACAAAGAACGAATAGCCACAATGTGATGCTCTAAGCACTCTAGGCCATCGGACACTTCTGCACAGTCCCGACGGACTGTCACATATTCTGAGCTATCAGATCCCCTGCCTGCGCAGATGCCAGAAGTTTATGCCAGTCCTCGGTACAATCTGGAAGCACAAGCATCCGATCAACTTTTCGATGCTGGGTTGCCCGCGTCACGTGCACTTTGTAACTCTTTGTTGGTCACAGCCTCAACATGAAAGAACAAAGAAGGCGATGCTCATGGCTAGCAGTAGCTTTAAATTCAGTGGGGACTTGAGTCGAGCACATCATCCCCGCGGACGATGCAGTAAGAAGGCCCCGGATCGCAGCTACGCTGGGTTGTAGCGGTGCCAGCAGCAGTTCCAGAGAAACATCTGCCCCATCGCCGTGTCGGGGGGACCGCGGTTTTGCATTCTGCCCCAGATCTGCTTGCCAACTCTGGGAGCAGTTCTCTGTGTCTCTGCACTTCAGTGTCAGACTCGAGATCTATTGCCGGTGCCAGCATGGCCTCGGCACCGCCATGAAGTGAGACGTCATCCCTCACCCCTTTTACTGCCCCAATTACACATCGGTAGACTCCTCACAACTGCGACACCATGTTTTTGACAAGCCTGCTCGATCGCAGCCTATACCAAACCTCCTTCACCATTTACCACTTCAACGGTGACCCCAAGGTACCAGCTTTACCCCAGCTGGTACAAGCTGAAGCCATACAGAGCGGAGCAAATGTTCAGAAGTGTTTGTTTTAAAGAGAAAGCAAGAAATCGAGACAATGGAAGAGAGAGAGAAAGGGAAAGATCAACGACAGGGGAGATTGAAGGAGGGAGGGAACGAGGGGAGAGGGGAGGAAAGAGGAGGAGGGCGGGGGAGGATCCAGTCGTCGGGACGCAGTATTGGGGGGGGATCATGCAGAAAGTACTGAAGTAGAGTGACGCACGCGGTTGTATGAGCTTTGTTGAGAAGTGTTTTTCTAAGCTAAGAAGATCAAGTGAAACAACGAGACACTACACAAAAAAAAACAGTCTTCGCATCCACTCGCAGCAACTCACGATTTAGCTGCAACACCTCACGGTGACCTGGTTAAGCACGACAGATCATCACGGCTGCAACTACAACTTCTTGTCGTATCTGGCCTGGATCACACGGCAAACGAGCCTTCGGGGCTTATTCTTAAGACCGGGGCTTTTCTACATTTGGCTTGCGTGCTTGGCAGACAGGTCCCGCACACTGCTTGGCAGAGGGGGAAGAGAGAAAAGGCTTCTCGACAACATATGAACCACGGGAAGCCGGACCTAGCGGTCAATTGCGTGGCAACCCAACAAGACTCCGCAACTCGTGTTCAAACTCACGTTCTGCACTCGGCTCATCCAGTTCTTCGCCAAACAGAGGTCCTCGCCCGTGCTCGCCTCCAAGAATTCTGCCTCTTAGCTGGCGAGCGGCTGCGCAACGGGGGTAGTCTCGCCTCGATTTCAGCTGGCTCATCTGCCACTGCAAATGCTTCGCAAACCCCGGAAGATCCTTGTCGTCCATAGCGCTGCGGAAAGCCAGTGTGCTGTCATGAGGAGCTGGAAGCTGCAAAGGCGGAGTGCAAGGCTTTCTCTCCAGTCTGTCAGGCTGCACATGAGATATCAAGGCATCCATTGGGTGGGGCACTCCAGAAACCTTTTGCATCTCACGAGTTGATTTTAAGTCCTGTTCTAGCCGGGCCTTGCACTCTTGCAGTGCCCCAAGTTCTGCCACTGCCTGGTTCAGGGCCTCTTGCTGACCATCGAAATTCCTTTTCAGCTCTGCATGCTCCCGTTTGAGAGCTGCGTGCTCTTTGCCCAGGCTGTTGACGGCAGCGCGCTTTTCGAAAAGCTCGTCTCGCACATCTGCCGCGTGTCCTCCGAGAACATGCAGGTCTGCCTTCAAAGCGTGAAGCTGCTGTTCTCTGCTGTGAACCTTTGCCAAAGCCTCCTCCGATTGCTTTTCAGCGTTTGCTCTGGCAAGCGTATGGTTGAAGGCATCAACACGGGAAAGCTGCTCGCGCTCCTGTGCACGAAGGAGCTGTACCTGTGCGCCACGCTCCTGCTGACCCAGCTCAGCGCACACCTTCTCAAACTCCAGACAACGATCTTCGTACTTCCTTGTTTCGGCCTTCTGCTGACGCAGTTCCCCATTGACATCTTCCAACTTTCGTGTTAGATGAAGGACCTTGGACTCCAGCGATCTCACCTGCTCTTCTGTTTTCTCTCGGAGCGTTTTTTCGTTCCTCCATTCGAGCTTCACTCGTTCGATTGGAACTAGCTGTTCGCGCAGATCCTCCTGCGACTTCACTGCATCTCGCAGCTTCGTCTTCAGGTTAATGACCTCCTGGCGCAAGACCTCCACACTCGGAGTGGCAGCCCCTTTGCTCGGGGAGCTCATGGCGGCCAATATTCGTACTACTATCTACTGTACGTATGCAGCTGGCACTTCTACAAAGTCCCTTTGGCCCTTCTTGCTCACCATAACATGGCTGTCTTGCGATTTCCCTAGCGGTATCCAACGCTCCCTGAGGCCTCACATATGCTGTTGTATGCTGCGTGACATGCGCACACGGTGGCGAGCCAAGGGCCTCGGAAAAAATCCAAGAAGTGGTCGAAGCCCTGGCAGCTGATTGAAGCCCGCTTACCTCTACCTACTCGGTAAGTACAACATGCGGAGCACCATATCACAAAACGTCTCCCGCGACTTTTGCAGCAACTCCTCCTCCATGGCCATGACAGCCCGCTCCAAGTACGACATCCTGCTTTGCTCTCTGTGGAAAACCAAGATGGCCTCCAGGCCTCCTGCAAAGACGACATCGCTTGCGCTGTGGCCAGCCCCACCTGCATCTTTAGGCAGTCGGTGGTCTACAACCTCGTCGCGCTGGAAGTTGTACGTCCGGATCTTCTCAGATCGGTCTCCGGTGCCCTTTTGATCCTTGCGCTCTGCACGCTCGAATTCGGATTTGGCAGAAATCTGTCGGTCCAGAAGCTTCGTGCGCAGCATTTCAATTGCACGCGTGCGATTCTCGTACTGCGACTGAGAGGAGGTACTCTGCACTGAAAGCCCCGTCGGAATGTGGATGACCCGAACTGCCTGGTGCGCCGCGTTGACGCTTTGTCCACCGGGGCCCGAGGACTTCTTGCTGATCTCGATCCGGAGATCGCCGGCAGCGAACTCCACATCCTCTTCGTCGGCAATAGGCAGAACGACCACGGCTGCGCTGGAGGTCTGCATACGGCCCTTTTTGTCCGTGCTGGGCACGCGCTGGACGCGATGAACACCAGACTCGTGCCGAAGCCAGCCGTAGGGAGCTGTCTCCTTTTGACAGGTCAAGCCACGCAACTCAAGTTGAGCTCGACCACTGCAAGAAATGATTTGCAGTTGCCTACCTCCTCCACTCACAACGGCGACTTAGTGCATTCATTTTGCCGGCACCTCGTCGACTCCGCCAGACACGCGTGCCTGTGAATGCACACTTGTTCATCCAGTGCAGTCCACATGAAATTCACGATCATCCAACACTTGCCCTAGTGCCGATAAACTTGATTACCGCCGCACGTCACTTTGCGTCTCAGGCAGAAACGGAAGCGAACAGGACACCTCCTCCAACGCCTTCATTCACGGTCTCCACCTGATCAACAGGCTTCAATCCAAAAGAAGCAGGTGGCTCCCCAACACTGGACAGTCTGCACCCATCGATTCGAATCTTGCACAAACATCAAGCCTGAAAGTTCCAGCCGCGGGAGTCTGAAAACTGCTCGTACCTTCGTGAGGTTGCTGCAAAGGAGCACTGGAACAGAATGTCACTTGGCTGGACTGGCTCGCATCTCGAAGAGCTCCCGGGTGAAAATCGCCGCCTCCTTGACACTCATGTCATGCTGGCGACACAGACAGAGGGAGGGCGCGAGACACATGAAGCCCATAGCATGTCTCACCTTTCCCAGCTGATTTCCAAACAACGCGAACTTTAGCTACTCTTCTTGGCAAATACGCTGGAGGGTTGGAAGCATCGGCTGATGCGCAATGAGCTAGGAGCACGTGCAGTGTAGTGCATGGCATTATCACACCAGCCGTGAAGTTGCTCAACCCTGCGAAGATCTTTTGAAGAGTCTTCGCTGCGAATGAGATGGAATATGAACCTCTGGTTCTGGATGGGGAGACCATCAGTACTGCGTCTTGCAGCATGGCACTTCCACAATGTAGAAGCTTCTTCGAACTGTACGAGTAGAAGTGTGCAGCGCCTTGGTCTTGCAGTGACCAGCTCTGCATAATTAGTCCAAGAGATCTTTGCATCTTGGACCTCTCTTGACCAAGATGTAACAAACATGGCTGCACGTGGGGCCATCATCCATCGGCATCGTAAACTCCCGTCAGCGATTTCTGCTGAGCCTTGGTAGCTTCGGATTTCGACTTCGCAGCCAAGAAAGTGGCAACACTGATACCGGGTCCCGCTCGAAGCGTCCGACTCATAGGCTGTATGAGCACCTTGCCGATCTGGGCAAGAAATTGGCACTAGCACGACTGCCAGAACGAGTCGAGACACACTGTCAAGGAGATGCTGTCCAATTCGGACATACGCTTCAGCATGTCTGCCGTCTTCATGGATTGACCTGAGTCGAGCACGGGAAAACAAGCAAAGCTCAAAGCATTCCAACACTGACAGGTGATGATGCATGATGAAACGGGTGATCGATGACCCTGAGCAGATGTCAGGAGTCCGTCAACAGCGGCTCGCCACACTCCATAAGCGACATTTTAACATGGCAACAGGGCGGAGAATATCTGGTCACATTATTTTTCTGCTTCTGCTGCCATTATTTTTCTTTTTTTTTTTTTTTTTTTTGGCCCTGGGCCCTGTTACTCTGTTACTCTCATACTCTTATACTCTTATACTTTATTACTCTATGACTCTATTACTCTATTGCCCTATGACTCTATTACTCTCTTACTCTAAAAGCTCTATTACTCTATTACTCTAGTACTCTATTTGTCTATTACTCTGTTACTCTAGTACTCTATTACTCTATTATTCTATTACTCTATTACTCTATTACTCTATTACTCAAAAACTTTATTACTCTATTACTCTATGACCCTTTTTCTCTTATACTCTTACTCTATTACTCTATTGCTCTATTACTCGATTACTCTATTACTCTATTACTCTATTACTCTATTGCTCTAATACTCTACTCTACTACTCCATTAACTCTATTTATTACTCTATTACTCTATCTACTATATTTCCTCTATGACTCTAGGACTCTATGACTCTATTACCCTGCTAATCCCTGCTACTACCCCTTCTCCTACTACTACTACTACTACTACTACTACTACTACTACTATTAATACTGCTATTGCTACTGTTACTGGTACTGCTATTTTTTCTTTTTGTTTTTTTTGCCCTCGGCCCTGTTACCCTATTACTCTAATACTCTATTGCTCTATTACTCTATTAGTCCATTACTCTATTAACTCTATTACTCTATTACTGTTATACCCTTACTCTATTACTCTATTACTCTTTACTCTATTACTCTATTACTCTAGTACTCTAGTACTCTAGTACTCTAGTACTAGTACTCTAGTACTCTAGTACTCTAGTACTCTATTACTCTATTACTCTATTACTCTATTACTCTATTACTCTATTACTCTATTACTCTATTACTCTATTACTCTATTACTCTACTACTCTATTGCTCTATGACTCTATGACTCTATTACCCTATGACTCTATTACTCGCTTACTCTAAAGGCTCTATTACTCTATTACTCTAGTACTCTATTAGTCTATTACTCTGTTACTCTATTACTCTAATACTCTATTACTCTATTATTCTATTACTCTATTACTCTATTACTCAAATACTCTAGTACTCTATTCGTCTATTACTCTGTTACTCTATTACTCTAATACTGTATTGTTCTATTACTCTAGTACTCGATTACTCTATTACTCTATTACTCTACTACTCTACTACTCCATTAACTCTATTTATTACTCTATTAGTCTATCGACTTTCTTTCCTCTATGACTCTATGACTCTATTACTCTGCTACTACCCCTACTCCTACTACTACTACTACTACTACTCGTATTACTAATACTGCTATTGCTACTGTTACTGGTGCTGCTAATGTCATTTTTTGTTTTTTGGCCCTCGGCCCTGTTACTCTATTACTCTAATACTCTATTGCTCTATTACTCTATTCGTCTATTACTCTATTACTGTATTACTCTATTACTCTTGTACTCTTACTCTACTACTCTATAACTTTTTACTCCTATTACTCTAGTACTCTAGTACTCTATTACTCTATTACTCTATTGCTCTATTACTCTTTGCCTCTATTACTCTAATACTCTTTTACTCTACTACTCTATTACTCTATTACTCTATTTCTCTATTACAGTATTCCTCTCTAATAAAGTAATAGAGTAATAGAGTGGTAGAGTGCTAGAGTAATAGAGTAATAGAGTACTAGAGTACTAGAGTAATAGAGTAAAGAGTAATAGAGTAATAGAGTAATAGAGTAAGAGTAACAGAGTAATAGAGTAATAGAGTCATAGAGTAATAGACTAATAGAGTAATAGAGTAGTAGAGTATTAGAGTAATAGAGTAACAGGGCCGAGGGCAAAGAAAACAAAAAAAAACATTAGCAGTACCAGTAACAATACAATAGCAGTATTAGTAGTAGTAGTAGTAGTAGTAGTAGTAGGAGTAGGGGTAGTAGCAGAGTAATAGAGTCATAGAGGAAATAAAGCAGATAGAGTAATAGAGTAATAAATAGAGTTAATGGAGTAGTAGAGTAATAGAGTATTAGAGTAATAGAGTAATAGAATAATAGAGTATTAGAGCAATAGAGTAACAGAATAATAGACTAATAGAGTACTAGAGTATTTGAGTAATAGAGTAATAGAGTAATAGAATAATAGAGTAATGGAGTAATAGAATAGTAGAGTAATAGAGTAATAGAATAATAGAGTAATAGAGTAATAGAGTAACAGAGTAGTAGACTAATAGAGTACTAGAGTAATAGAGCTTTTAGAGTAAGAGGTAATGGAGTCATAGAGTAATAGAGTAATAGAGTCATAGAGGAAATAGAGTAGATAGAGTAATAGAGTAATAAATAAAGATTATGGAATAGTAGAGTAACAGAGTATTAGAGTAATAAAGTAATCGAGTAATAGAGCAATAGAGTAAGAGTATAAGAGTAATAGGGTCATAGAGTAATAGAGTCATAGAGTATTTGAGCAATAGAGTAATAGAGTAATATAATAATAGAGTAATAGAGTAATAGAGTAACAGAGTAATAGACTAATAGAGTACTAGAGTAATAGAGCTTTGAGAGTAAGAGAGTAATAGAGTCATACGGTAATAGAGTAATAGAGTCATAGAGTACTAGAGTATAAGAGTATGAGAGTAACAGGGCCCAGGGCCAAAAAAAAAAAAAAAAAAAAAGAATGGCAGCAGAAGCAGAAAAATAATGGCGACAAAAATAGGCCCTCCTGGCAACACACCTCTTGGTTCTTGCCCTGTTTGTGTCTTCCTCTTCTGCGCAAGAAGCCGTCAGTCTGCTCTCTCAAGGCGTGCTGTAACCCGACCCGCTTTGATAAGTCAAGGGGCCGTTGATCTCAACTATTCGGTCCTTTGGCTCGAAGGTCCCCTTCGGCATGTCCGCTGCCACACCTCCGGTTACCTCCTGAAGATGCAGCGACATCTCCAAGAGCATGTCACACTTCAGCTCCCGGCCGAGTCCTTCACAATTAGACCCAGGCATTCTTCATCGGAATTCAAGCGAAGCCCCACCTACAGGGCCGGCAAATGCATGAAGCCAGCAGCACGAACTCGTTTTCAACTAGCCTGCAACGCGGCAATTTGCGTCAATTCCGAACAAAGGGCCTTCTTGCCGGCCTTCTTCATAAGCACTTCCTGTGCATGGCAGATAATATACTGTTCTCACGCACACAGAGCTGGCAGGCGAGGTTGTGGCGTAGGAGTAAGTCTTCTCTGCTTGGCAGGTTCTAACAGTGGCGCTCCGTGCATCGGGCCTTAACCTTCGGGCGCTCCATGTAAAGCTCGAGATCAGTCGCTTCCTTTATTCGCTGAACGAGCTCGGAGGATTTCTTTGCTTCGCCGTTGACTTTGACGACCCGGTCGTAGACTCGAACACCCCTTAGTGCAGTGTACAGGCTTGGGTTCGGGAATGTCGGGAGTTCTCTGCCAAGCCGAGGATCTTCCTGTCAAGCGCACCTCCAAGATCCACTCGTCTGAAAACCTCGGCGTACGCCCGGGCACGTGGCACTTTCCAGCGCTGTTTCGGCCGCCGAAGCCAAGCAACACAGCAATCTTCCTGAGAAGCATCCAGTCCTCCTCCCAGCTTCCCGCCCTCCTGCGGACTTCGGCGCAGCTCAGAGTCTCAAGGCCACCTACACCCTCTGCTGCTCTGCTGGCTTTCATTGTCCTTGCTCACCTTCACAACATAAGACTCTGCTGGCTGGCGTACCGCAAGTGCGGAATCTGTCCTGAGATGCATCCACCGAGAATCGAGAACGCAAGCCACACCAGCAAAAAGTCGGGAAATGGCTGCTTCTAAGTCCGAGAGGCTTCTTTTTCAGCTCCTTCTCCTTTGGTTCCGGAGCCGGAGAGGGTGGAGCGGGTGGAGCGGGTGGAGCAGGAGGCGGAGCAGGTACCACCTTGATCTCGGGAGTCTCAGCCTTGGGCTCGCTCTCCTTCGGCTTCGCTGGCTCCTACAGGGCTCAACACGCAAGAGCCCCATCACCATGCGACGGCTTGCAGTTCTAGCGGAGATTGAGAGTGGCCAAGAGTCAAGATGTTTCAAATTGACAACACATGTGGTCCCCGAGGCTGCTCTTCCATGATTTTGCAACGACAAAATGGAGGGCCCTCGGCATTCCTGCACGAAGGCTGCACGTAGTTCCATTGTCTCTTCTTCCTCACAATCGAAGGTCTTCTCGCCATGCACAGCTGAGAGAGACCCAATAAGTTTGCTCCCGGCCACTGCAGACCATTTAAGTGAAGGCTCCTTTGCATCTGGAGGTGCCGATACTGCAGTTACGACCTTGGGAGTGTCACCCCTTACAAAAGCTGAGCAGTACGGCAATACTCAATGTGTGCCTCCTCTGCAGGAGCCTCGTTCACACAGCATGCGCACCTCAGCATCAAATCATCAGGGTCTTTCAGCCGGCAGACCCAGTGGACTCTTCCAAGTGCGGCCAGAGCACCACATCCCTCGCACTCTGGGGGCCCCGTGGGGCTGGCAAGCTGACTTCTGATTGCCCAAAGGGCTTCGGGATGCAACAGCTTGAGCTGACAAACTGAATCACAACGAGTGGGCAGCAACAGACTTTCGTGTGCCGCAATCCTGGCCACCCACCCCCGGAGTTAACTCCAGCATCGCGTCCCTGCCTTAGACACGTGAACATGCACTTTCCAAAACATGTCAACCGTGAGGCCATGCATGTTACTAACACCACTTCCGGCACTATGTGCCGCCTCTAACCTGCAATTGTTACATGTTGGGTGAGATCGAACCTTTCCTCGAAGGTCGCCTCACCAGCATGACATGGTGAGCTCCCTTGGCTCCCTTGCGATCCGACCCGGAGTCGGCAAAATAAAGCAAGCGTCCCTACAGTACTTGCATCCGGGTAAAGACAGGGTTTCCTGCACGTCTGCAGATCTGAGAGCGACGCCATCTGCAGCAGCTGACTCATGATGTAGCTTTCCATCTTCAGCTGAGCGGTTGAACAAGAGCAGCTCCTGGAAATCTGCAAAACATATGGTCGTGGTTGTGGTTTTTTAGGGTTGGGGATGAGAATGATGCGTCTAGTAGGGTTCAGATTCAAGGGTTCGGGTTTTACCGTCTAGCCGAGAAGTGGAAACGATGCAGAACCGAACCAAATGGAAAATGCATAAAACAGAATAAAGGCGTAAAAGGTCAGCAGCGAGTTCTGGGGCCTATTGTATTACAAGTGCAACATTCATTCAAGGATCATATGTGGGGTTGGAATTGGATTAAAGTTTCTCTTATCGGTGGCAATTGCAGGTGGTTTTTGCTGTGGCTTACGGGCCTTTGTGTTGCTGTGTCGTTCACCACAGCCACTCCACGGCATCGAAAACATTGTCCTGCGCAAATTGTTTCACATTCTAAAAGATTTCCGCCGACTGTGGCGTGTGGTTTCCGCTCAACACCAAAACCGACGTCAGTTTTGGTCGTAGGTTTTTGGTTGCGGCTTCGTCGTAAGCCCACAACAAGTGGCCTGCACGGTAGATCCCTCCCATCTCGAAGCCAAATGTTTGCTATCTGGCACCTTGCGCAATTTAGCCTTTAAATGGTTTTGCGTCCGTGCCGTTGTCGATGATGTTCTTTGCCTTGCCCTCTGTGAAACCTCTTTCTCGAAGCGGCACGGCATTTCAGATGAAATCCCAAGTTCCGACTCTGACGCCTTTCTCCACCTTGAAGTCTGAAGCTCAGTCTGTCAGCAAGCAAGCAAGTCTGACAACACAACTGGGCGATAGCATTCATTTCCGAGGGAGTGCGTCGCAGTTGTTCTAGGGAGTGGCCAGAGGCAGGGAATGGCTCTGCATACGATGCTGTACAATCAGGAGAACGTCTGCACATGCTCGCAAGTCATCATCACACTCGAAACATCACAAGGCGTTTCAACCAAAAACATTGCCAAGAAAACTTCTCAATACATAAAAAACAGGACCTCGATAAAAAAAGAAACAAAACCACCCCTGCAACTGAACCTGCAGGAAAGTTCATGGCCAGTATTGGGGTCTTCATATCCTTAACATGTCCTTTCCGCACCACTTCTGAAACAGTTCCTAGATCAGCGCTGCATCACTTGAACAATCACATCGTCTCATAATCCGTCGTTAGGGCCATCAAAACAGCTAATGTCGAAATTCCAACCGGAAATCATCAAATATGTATCCCGCTGTACGCACGGAACTTCTAAGATGGCTCACACACCTATACAGCTGTGTGGATGAAGCAAATCTCGAACCATCCTACATCCTGTAAATTATACGGGATCCCGTGTGGTGCAAGATTTCCACCGCACGACCCGACAACCTTCTTACCACGATCCAAGGCAACCTCAAAAGCATCTCATACCCTAGGCCCTCACCCTTAAACCTTTAAACCCTTACTCCTAAATCTTAATTAGTGAAGCCAAGACTGACCTTCGCGTTGAGGACACGATTAGGGTTTATGGTCTAAGGTTTCGGGTGTAGAGGGCCTGCATGTGTATTGTTTAAAGTTTAGTGTAGGGTTTAAGTCTAAGTTTAGCCTGACATACACAAATCATAACTGCTAAAGACAAACCTGCGACAAAATTTCAGAACTGAAATACAAGTTGTCAACTTGGGGACAGGGTAGCATGCTCGAGGTTATGATTTGCGTTGTTGTCGTTGTCGCTGTTGTCGTTGTCGCCGTCGTCGCGGCGACAAGGTGGAAGCGCCTATAATTATTACTGTGGTTGGTCGTGGCTGTGGTTGTTGTTGTTGCTGTTGTTGTTGTTGGTGGCGGCGGTGGTCGTGGTGGTCGTGGTCGTGGTGGTCGTGGTGGTCGTGGTGGTCGTGGTGGTCGTGGTGGTCGTGGTGGTCGTGGTGGTCGTGGTGGTCGTGGTGGTCGTGGTGGTCGTGGTGGTCGTGGTGGTCGTGGTGGTGCTGTTGCGGCTGTGGTTGTGGTTGGGTTGTGGTTGTGGTCGTAGTTGTGGTCGTAGTCGTGGTTGTGTTTGTGGTTGCGGTTGTTGCTGTGGTAGTGGCTGTGGCTGTGGCTGTGTTGCGGTTGTAGCTGTGGTTGTGGCGGCGGTCCTGTTGCTGTTGCTGTTGCTGTTGCTGTGGCTGTCGCTGTCGCTGTCGCTCTTGCTGTTGCTGCTGTTGCTGCTGGTGCTGCTGTTGCTGCTGTTTCTGCTGTTGCTGCTGTTGCTGCTGTTGCTGCTGTTGCTGCTGTATTGCTGCTGTTGCTGTTGCTTTTGCTGTTGCTGTTGCCGTTGCTGTTGTAGCTGCTGCTGTTATGAATCTTGCTCTTGCTCTTGTTCTTGCTGCTGCTCTTGCGCTCCTGCAATTGCTGCTGTTGGTGCTACTGCTATTATTGCTCCTGTTATTGTGATTATTCAGACTGCTAATGTCTTATAACCGAGCCGACCGCAATCTTCGCGATTTACGTGCCTTCCATGCGTTTGAGAGGTATGTCATCAAGACAACCCACGGGGTCGTCTTGCCTGGAGATCAAAGGGGCGTCGAGTTGAGCAGAATCATAAACCGTCATCCCTTGGAGAGCACGATTGTAGGCAACAGATGAATCCATGGGCATGACGAAGCGGCGCGGCTAGACGAAGAGCCTAACCACCGGAAGAGGTCAGGTTGTTTTCTAGGCAGGGGTTAGAACCAGACTTGCCGGTTACAACCGAGTTTGTTGTTACTTTTCACCTTGTATTGAGCATGATGAGTGTGTGACGACACATGATTATACGAACTACCTGGAGCCGTGCCATCACCATAGGAGCATTGTAGAATGATAACCATGTGCTTGGCACACTAGGTGGCTCAAGCGCGCAATCAATGCAAAGTCACTCTTTTTGAAGCTGCCACGCGGGAAGACAGAACGGCTGCATCTCATGCGCGCAAACCGCTCCTCATGACAGTTTGTGGGGCAAGGAGAAATTGTTTGGAGACTTGTGCGGAGCATTGAGATCAAGAGACGGCGCTTGTGTGCAGAATCCTCCTGGCTGGACAAGGTGAAAGCATGCTCCCAGGCATCGTGCCAATCGGAATTCCAATTTGAGGTGTCAACTACAGGAAGCTTTGGTCCGAGTCACTGGAACTCGAAGACGACAATGAATCCGAATCCTCGTTCTCCACATCCTCGGCCTTGTGTGCTCGTTGGTGGTGTCCTTGGTGTTGCCCTCGGAATCCGCATCGTTATCCTCAACGTCTTTGTCCTTCTGGTTGTGGTTGCCGTTGCGGCTCTTGCCCGCAACATCGTTGTCCACGTCCTTGTCCTTCTGGTTGTCGTCGATGTCGGGATTCTTGTCCACAAACGCTTTGATGTTGTTGTCCGTGTCCTTGTTCTCGGAGTCTCGTGCTTGATGGCCTTCAGGTTGTCGTCGCCTTTGGTCTTTGAGCCCTTCTTCTCGTTGAGTACCCATGTGTAAAGCAGTTGTTCAAGTACGTTATTCCACGCTCCATTTGTACCACGAAGCATTCCTGCATCGCGCTGACAATACTTGATGTAGTGCTGGATCACCTACTTGGTTACGCCCATTTTGGCACTATGGACTGGCACTACTCCCACTCTGCACATCATTGCTTTGCAGAGCCTGGCACCGGAACTTCGTTGGAAGATGCTGCACCGCTAGACTCACTCACTATGGGGCTATCTGCCACAGCTCTAGGATACACTTGCCATTGCCACTAATCTCCATGAGACCAGCTACATGACAGCTCGCTTCATGCTGCTCAAACATTAGAAAAACAAAGACTTTCTATCTTGATCTTGCAAATGCCGCAGTCTGAAACCGAAACCGTTCAAAAAGCCATCCTGTGATATAGGCGCATAATAGCATAATGAAGTGTTCGTATAGTACGAAACCTATGAAAAACCAATAAATCTAACGTAGCATTCAATGGTTTACATAACATTAGTATAAATATATAGTTTTTGCCAGGGTGTCGCCGCATCGGCGTCTGAGGAGCGTACCTGCAGGGCAACATTTAAACCATTAAACCAATCCATTTCGCCTCTAGGACACGACGGGCCTTAAACCGGTAAAATCAATCCATTTGGCCTATCATAAAGCACTGGAGCCGTACACCGTTAAACCCTTGAAACAATCCTTTTGGCCTCTGTATTGGTATGTTAAGCTCACTGGGGGAAATGGTTGGTTCAATGGTTTAATGGTTTAGGGATGGGTCTAGGTTCATTAGGGAAAGGATTGGCTTGCTTGCTCGTGAAGAAGTGTTTTCCTGTGTGCACCAGCGAGCCCAACGCCTTGGTAACTTAATTCAAAACTTCCACGCCCAACCGCTTCACCCTATGGCATATTCATGTTCTGAACCAATGCAGAAGCCCGCTGGATTGTTGTTATTGCTGCGTTGCAACATCCAGCCAAAGACGCTGTCCGCGTTTGCGCATGCTTGCAGGCAAATCGGGTTCGGGCGAAAACATCGTAATTGCCCCTACCCTTGCCTTTCAGGCAACCTTTAGAAAGTGCACCAAAAACTATGTAAGGAAACCACCGTATATGTCTGTGAATTCGATGATTACAAAAACGAAACGAACAAGCACAAATCACGGAAACAGCGCGGATGTCCGCACACTGGCCAAGATGAAAACACCGTAAACACCGACGTAAACGACTGTTGCTGCTGCCGTTGCGGCTGCGGTGGTGGTTGCTGCTGCTGCTGCCACCGTTGATCGTGCTCCTGCCGCTCCACCTGCTCTCCGCTCGTTGAGTTACCTCTGCAAGACTAGCATGAACTCACACTGGTACTACTCCTGCAGGCTACGACTACGGCAGCGACCACGACCGCGACCATGTGACCCTACTACGATTACCACTACGACCCCTGCTGACACCCATTACCACCACCACCACCACCGACAAGACCAGGACCGCTACCACACCGCTGCTACAGGTACTACCACTACTGTTCCTGCTGATACTCCTCCTCCTCCTCCTCCTGCTCCTCCTGCTTCTACTACTACTGTCCTGCTGCTACAGCGGTATCCGAGAGGCGTTGTAGCATGGGTGCTGCCGCTGCTGCTGTCTGCTGCTGCTGTCTTCGCCATGGCATTGAATTGCTCGAGCGGGGGATGATACTATGCAAAATCCAGTCTGTGGTTTCTCAAATCCGCAAGTCCTGTTCTAATACTCTGCCATGTGCGAGGAGGAGATCATCAGCCGCCTGACCCCAAATAGCTGTGGCTGTACCGAAGCCTGGGTCATTCGACATGCGCAACCTGCAGCTCGGAGTCATACAGCGCAACCAACCTTGTCCACAAAAAATCTTTCGCAGCGATGTTTGACGGAATCTTGCTTGTGCAGTAGCAACAGTGTTCAGGGCTCTGGCTCCTCATCCGGACTGCTTTGCCCGTTCTCCTTTGCCATGGGGCTGTCAGCATTCCCTTCAGCTTTCCATGCATCTGAAACTTCGAAGCGCCAGAGAGTCCTGAGCAGACAAGTCCGCTTGGCGCTGCTTCTCCAGCTCACGCTTTGCATCCTGGCACGTCAGCCGCGCAGCACGCCTGCCGCACTGCCGCATCCTATGCTGAATCGATCCTGCAACTTGCAGAACGCACGGGAAGACTCCAACACAGACGCAATCTTGTCTGATGAGAAGATCTCATCGGGCACCTGTTCGCGGAGCAGAAGTCCGACAAACTTCGCAAATGCAACGTACATTCTAAGCTCGGCTGCAGCTGGATACGCACTCTCGTCACTCTGGCGTGAGAGGAATTTGCGTGAGTGGACGTCTCAAACCCTACACTGCAAGGAAAGGCCGTGAACCGGCTCACTACCCCATGACTGTCTCTTCTCTATCGAGATCTAGTTTCGAGGGCTTCAACAAGCTTCAACAAAGAAACTGCACAGAGCCAGGTCCGGACAGACAGTCACCCACTCCAAGACAGCTGAACCATATCGGATCATATCCGACACCTGACTTTCACCGACCATCAAACCACTGCATAATTAATGGCAATTAATGGCAACATGATCAACTTCTCCCACCATTACACGATATACGCCGCCACGGACCTTCTGAGTCAAGTCCAGAAGACGTGTTTGCCAAGCCTTGCAAAGAATCATGAATGGCTCAGCCAAACTAACCGCTAGCCTCACCACTGCATCTCCGAACAGTTCTGCACATCCATGAATGCCCTGCCATCATGTCACGCTATAAATAGCTGAATGCCGGATCTAGAGGATCCCCACTGCGCGACTGACTGGAGACCCCTGGACTCACATCAATCAGGGAACGCTGCTGGAGAAGCAAGATCGCCGCAACAGCAGCGAGTACATCCGCCTGCCACGAGCAGGCTTGGACGGTAGCAGTCCCAGCCCTGAGCAGGATCCTCAGCGTGGGCCTTGCCTGCGGCATCCCCAGATGCACATGAAAGCCTCACCATCGACTCACCGAGCAAAGAGCCACATTGAAGATCACAAGCAATCAGATCCGGAGGCCACTGTGGTGTCAAGATTCTTGGCCGAAAGTGGATGCGAGGCGCAAATAGCTTTGTGTACAGTCTGCATGAAAGCAGCGTCTCGTGGCTATGTACAGGGACATTGCATCCGTGAAACTGAAAACTGGGGAAGTTGCTGCATTAGAGATGAGCTAAACGGTGATCAGCAAGACGTGCTAAGTGTCCAACAGTAGTGGCCTTGAGGCCACGCTCCGCCAGCTGTAGCAAAAGACTTTGCAAGCCCTGGAAGCACCATTCCCGGAACCCCTTCTCGGGCATATGGATGAGTATGATTGAGCCATGCTCGGCCTGCCGTCCTAGGAAGCTGCCAATGAACTCGCCGTCCTGGATCACGGGGCAACAGGCGAAGGTGTCGCACATCACGTTTTGAAGACCCCTTTCGGCAAGGGCCGCAGTCATATCCGAACTCATCCTTCCGTGTGGCGCCCGAAACCATCGAACCTGCTCGGCCAGGCCCGCTTTCTGCTGCAGGCGTTTAATTCTGTTGGAGCACTCATCCAGAGCAGCGACGAAATCAGCACGAGAATCCTTTGCATAACTCCGATCAACCAACCCGTGATTAAGCATGGAGATCAACTCCTCTTCATTGCCCGGAATGAACTTGCCCATGAGCATGAGGGTTGCATGAGCATCATGCTGCTTAAGCAGCGTCTGAACAAGCGGCAGCAGTGAATTTGTGGGGCCGAGTCGACACGGGACATCATCAATGGTCAGGGCGACGTAGCCTCTCACATTAGGATGCAATTCCACGTCGAAGTAGCAAAGAGACTCTGTTGTAGCTCCAAACCAACTGATAGAAGTCCGCGAAGCGACCTTGTTCCACAGAAGTTGCAATGCTTGCGGAATCCCGGGCAACCATTCAGCAGGGATGAAGGGTGCGTCTCCCTGGTCCATGGCCTGGAGCGGACAAGAAGATATGTTTCGTCCATCCCGCAGCCTGGCAGCGATGATGAGTCGGGCAACGCCCACTCCCTTTGGGTCAAGTGCGGCCGTGAAGCATTTCACAACCCGGCCTTGAGTGTCCAAGAGGATCCGGGACCACCAGAGCTGGTTGTACCGTCGATCGGCATCCACGTCGTCGTCAAACTCTTCCCAGTAAAGCTTCCGACCACAGCAGTAGCCCAGTTTCCAGGAATCCGGTCGAAGCTGAGGCTCGCCACCCTCATTTCCCTCGAGGAATGCAGCCAAACCTTGGGCAATGCCGAGCAAGCCCTCACGGGACTTGCTATGCAGCCTCTCAAGCATTGATCTGGAGAAGAGGTCGCCACTAACGAAGCCAAACCCGTCCCAGCTTGCTGGCTGAGACTCATCAGCGCTCATGGCTCGTAGCAACTGAAGCCTACATCTGCTCACATGTCTTTTCAGGCATGTGCAGGGAAGACCGGGGCAAGAGCGTGCAGTAGCAGCTTGCTGAAACTCGGAGGCAGTGCAGAAAAAGAAACCTCGCACTCCCTAGCAACTGTCGGCAAACGAACATGGGGGCATGCACAGCCATGTGACAGCTCTGCGGCACGCAGGCAAGCACATGCAGTTCATGGTCAAGTTCGTTACCGGCTACTGCAAGCATGCCACAGCTGCATGACGAGACAGTTACAGCTCATGCACTCGCTGTACTACCGACAACGGGTTGGGAGCTTCGAAGCACAAGGTGTCAGCACAGCAGCAGTCACGAATTGCAACACTGGAGCCAATGCACTCTCAACGACATGTGAGCACGTACAGCACACCGGATAATGCGAGAGGCAACTGAAAGAGCAGGTTGGCACCAGGCTGAGCAGGACCGGTAGCAGTTGCAGTAGCAGTCGTCGTCGTAGTAATAGAGCAGTAGCAGTAGCAGCAGTAGTAGTAGTCGTAGCAGTAGTAGTAGTAGTAGTAGTAGCAGCAGTAGAAGTAGAAGTAGTAGTAGTAGTAGTAGTAGTAGTAGTAGTAGTAGTAGTAGGAGTAGGAGTAGCAGTAGTAGTAGCAGTAGAAGTAGTAGTAGTAGTAGTAGTAGTAGTAGTAGTAGTAGTAGTAGTAGTAGTAGTAGCAGTGGTAGTAGTAGTAGTAGTAGTAGGAGTAGGAGTAGGAAGTAGTAGTAGTAGTAGTAGTAGTAGTAGTAGTAGCAGCAGTGGTCGTAGTCGTACTACTATGAGTAGTAGTCATAGTTGTAGTAGTAGTAGTAGTAGTAGTAGTAGTAGTAGTAGCAGTAGCAGTAGTGGTAGGAGTATTAGTAGTAGTCGTAGTAGTAGTAGTCGCAGTAGTAGTACTAGTAGTAGTAATAATAATAGTAGTAGTAGTAGTAGTAGTAGTAGTAGTAGCAACAGAAGTAGTAGTAGTAGTAGTAGTCGTCGTCGTCGTCGTCGTACTTTAGTAGCACTAGTAGTACTAGTAGTAGTAGTAGTAGTAGTAGTAGTAGTAGTAGTAGTAGTAGTAGTAGTGGTGGTAGTGGTAGTAGTAGTAGTGGTAGTGGTAGTAGTAGTAGTAGTAGCAGTCGTCGTCGTCGTACTAGTACTAGTAGTACTACGACCGCAGGACGAAAGTTTGCCACACTGCCTTTAACTCAACATATGTCGTAGTGCCACCCCTTTTGCCCCTTTTATTCCGGTGAATTAACGACTCCGCCACCCTGGCCACGAAAACTCCTCCACAAGATCCCCAAGGCTCTCCGCCGAGAAATTAGTGGTAGTAGTGGTAGTAGTGGTAGTCGTGGTAGTAGTGGTAGCAGTGGTAGTAGTGGTAGTAGTGGTGGTAGTGGTAGTAGTGGTAGTAGTGGTGGTAGTGGTAGTAGTGGTAGTTGTGGTAGTAGTGGTAGTAGTGGTCGTCGTCAGTGGTGGTATGGTGGTGGTTGTGGTTGTGGTTGTGGTTGTGGTTGTGGTGGCGGCGGCGGTGGTGGGTGGTGGGTGGTGGGTGGTGGGTGGTGGGTGGTGGGTGGTGGGTGGTGGGTGGTGGGTGGTGGGTGGTGGGGGTGGTGGGTGGTGGGTGGGGTGGTGGGTGGTGGGTGCTGGGTGCTGGGGGTGGGTGGTGGGTGGTGGGGTGGTGGGTGGTGGTGGGTGGGTGGGTGGTGGGTGGTGGGCGGTGGGCGGTGGGCGGTGGCGGGGGGGTAGGCGGTGGGCGGTGGGGTGGGCGGCGGGCCGGGCGGCGGTGGTGGGCGTGGGCGGTGGGGGTGGTGGGTGGTGGGCGGTGGTGGGGTGGTGGTGGTGGTGGTGGGGTGGTGGTGGTGGTGGTGGTGGTGGTGGGGTGGTGGGGGTGTGGTGGTGGGGGGGGTGGTGGGTGGTGGGTGGGGGGGGGGGGGGGGGGTGGGGGTGGGGGGGGGGGGGGTGGTGGTGGTGGGTGCGTCGTGTGGTCATGGTGGTGGGTGGTGGGTGGTGGTGGGTGGTGAGTGGTGGTGGGTGGTGGTGGTGTGGGTGGTGAGTGGTGTGGGTGGTGGGTGGTGGTGGGTGGTGGTGGTGTGGGTGGTGGTGGGTGGGTGGTGGGGTGGTGGGTGGTGGTGGGTGGGTGGGTGGTGGTGGGTGGTGGTGGGGGTGGTGGGTGGTGGGTGGTGGGTGGTGGGTGGTGGGTGGTGGGTGGTGGGTGGTGGGTGGTGGGTGGTGGGTGGTGGGTGGTGGGTGGTGGGTGGTGGGTGGTGGGTGGGGGGTGGGTGGTGGGTGGTGGGTGGTGGGTGGTGGGTGGTGGGTGGTGGGTGGTGGGTGGTGGGTGTTGGGTGGTGGGTGGTGGTGGTGGCGGCGGTGGTGACGTGATCTTCTGGTGCTGAAATGATAATGGTGGGTAGCGAATCCCGAAGCCTGTCGGACAAAATCAAGGCCCTAGATCTTCGAAGGTGCGACACTTAGCAAACCCGAAGCGCCGAGAAGGATTGATCGATAGTGAGCCGAGACCATGAACAGTACAGGTGGCAGATTTTATGGTTATGGATATAGTGCTCAGCTCGAAGACAGGCACTGCGCTGTACTGGAACCCTGAAAACACAACTTCCCAACCCCAAACCTAGAAAAGATGCAGTGGGTCGCCACGAGCCCTTGCCATAACTCCCAAACGAGTGACAGGCTGGAGGAGAGTAGCCCGAAACCAGTGATGCGCAGAAACCAAAACCTGGGTGACCAACGGAGCATACAAAACCCACAGCGCGCGGTGACCCTGGATCCTGGAGGGTTGATCCCTGTACTGTAGCACTGTAGGCTTTGGGACTGAGGTTTGAGTTTATGGTTCGTGAGCGCGTATGTGTGCGCCAGATGTGGGCTCGGCAATCAGCGCTTCTTTACAAGCCCTGCACCCTACGGCCCTACGACTATATTGGCAGGAAAGGAAAGCGGGATTTCACAGCCCCTCCCGTTTCGAAAAGCTGACCTGAACAGGGACTGCCCCGGTGAACTTAGGCCGGAACCGAACTATGAGCGCCGGCTACAGGAAACAACATTTATCGTCATGTCGATCGCACACTAGCAATTCTTCAACGTTCACTTGTCTGGTAGACCCCTTGCTGCCATGCCCCCAGGTCACAAACGCGAACTTAGCACTGCTTGCATGACCTGCTATGCCGCTTGCTTCACTGAGGTGCACATCCATGGAGCCAACATATTCGACAAACACTCCGCTGCAACGAAGCAAGGCGCGTACATGTGCTCTTTTCCGAGCGAGGCGGTTCGCTTAAAATCGCATGCTGCGCTCCTACGAATCCTACGTCTGCAGAGCTGCGGCTCTGTGCCCGAAACACATCGGATCAGCCAAACTGTACAAGTCTCTGCTGCGGTTTGCAGCTGAACATCACCGCAGGTCGCGCCAGAGTCGCAGCGCACTTCGAAGGATGTCCTGCTCAAAGCACAAACTTAAAAAGCAGGGATGGCCTACGGCCTACGGGGAATGCCAGTTCAACAAGACAGAACGGTGCACCCTGCCTGCAATTGCTCAGGTGGATCCAGGCACTCTTGGCACTGCCCCTTGCAGCAGTTCCTCACACACGGCTCGTTACGATTTATGAGGTTCGGTTAACAGTAGGTGAAGGCTCTGATTCATGGCAGCTTCCCTGACGTATCTGCTTCAGCTAAACTAGTTTGTCAATCACTACGTGCCATTTGGTAAGACTTTCGGATCCATGCTGAAGGACCCAGCCCGGTCTCCATGCAGAACTAGGTCGCACCGGTTGGCATTTCCAGCCACAAGACGAACACAAATGCGAATGCTCAACTTGGTGCATCGCCTGCCCCAGCGTTCGTAGGACAAATGCCTGGCCGGAATGTTCTAATGACGCAGACTTCATCTCTGAATGCTCCGCTCTCGCTTGTGAAGTCACTGTCACTGCACAGACCTTCACGGAAGGAGGGAGAGAGGGAGGCAGGGAGAAGAGGCGAGAAGAGAGCAGCAGGACTTCGAAATATCAAGGTACGGAATCGGATCGCCTGGGTCGAACCGCCGACACGAATCGGATGGGGGGTTGGTGAAGATCAGATGAACTAGGCTACAAGACGCTACAATGACCCTGAACCCTGGAGCCTGAAGCCAAAACACCTAGCCAAAAACCAAGAAGCTGCAAAACACCAAACCCGAAGCCCCGAACCCCGAGCCCCGACCTGTAGCTGAAGCCCAGATCATGTCGGAAGACGTCTAAACGGAGCCCTAAGCCCGAAGGCTTCAAACCCAAAGCAAGCCAAAGCTCTAGCTAAGCCCTACCACAAAAGCATCAAACCACAAAGCCACAAGCTTCTGTGACTGTATGCTTAGACATTCTTACGTACCCTGAAGTCCTACATCCAGATCGGCTTCGCGCACGCCCAGTCCTCCAATGGATGCTTGACCCCGAGAGGAACCACGGCCCTGAGATCCAAACGCAAATCCAAGCCCTTTTCCTAGAGCGTGGAGGGTTGACCCTGTCAACTTCAACCCTACGCGGATGTCGACCGTCTGCAGGCGATCTGAACCGCCGTCTATCTGGTAAAACAACCTGAAGAACGCACAGGTCGGAACGAACGACGATGGTTTTCGGCTTCATTGCAGAAATACTATGAATCAACATGCTGGCAACCTGCGGTGCACTACCAAAGCACGGTGAACACGCAAGAAACGCCGGAACTGTGGAAAAATATGCTCTCATGCCTCTGTGGGGGGAGGCCACATCATCACTGAAGCGCTTAGGACGCGCAGCAAACGTCCTGATAGGCACCGAGTCACACTTGGACTGTTTGCAAGCTTCCTCTTCCTCTGTCTGGTTTCTCTTACTTGGTCTCCCTTCAAGCCAGCCGGTGTGACTGCACGTCAGGGCAGGTCCAGCCCTCGGCTTTGAGGATGTAGTGCAAGATCACTGAAGCAGCCACGGAGCGATGCTTGCCAGCACGGCAATACCTGCTCGGCTCATGAACTGCCTGCACGTGTCTTGCTTTGATTTTCTTCCCAGCGCACACAGCCACGTTGAAACTTCCACTGCCGCCTCCTGTCCGGGAACGGCTACATGAATCTGTTGTGCTTCCGAGCCCTGAAGTGCAACGACATGAGCAAGGATGGCGTCCAAGGGAGAACATCGAGCTGTTAGAGTTGCAAAGTCACTGCCATTGAATTCACACCCACGGCCTGATGGCGCTGCCTCAGCCGCCAGTGACATCTTATTGTCAGATGCTTCCTTCACAGCTACCTCATGTCGGCCAGAAGACTAGGATGCCAGCATCACGAGCGGCTTTTTCAATTTTCCTCTTCGCCCTTTCCAGCCACATCTTAAAATTCCTGCAAGAGCATCATTGCGGAAGCCATGACATGATTCTGCAGCCATGCTGACTGGCTACGACGGAAATGGGTCCTGTGATTGAACAGGCGCGTAATGATGAGGTGATGCCTTCCGGAGTGCCTGCAAAGTTTTTTTGCAAGCACAGGATCCAACCAAAGTTATAACCACTATTCGATGGACACGACTCTGCACCAGCCACATGGCATAGTATCATCAATATTAGACTTCCGGTGATGAGTGTCATCATGAGTCAGCATCTGGGCGGCACAAGATTTTCTCCATCCAGCGTGCCACCAGGATAGTTTCAGCTGCTCGTAGATGGCTGTGTTATTGTTTATGCAGGGACATTCCGGAGCGCGATGAGGTCGGTCACGGTACTACGACAAGGATGTATCTGCATGTGGGCCAATTCAATGCAGAAGGATCTATCATCTTGTCGGTTTTTAGCCTCATGGCAATACATATGTGCTTGCGTCCATGCTGCCAGCTGGCCGACCACCCATTGGAGGACGGCCGGAAAGCCGAACCACAAGGAGACTAAATGTATGTCACAGATACGGGCGGGAATGTGCCAAAAGCTTCGACACATTAAAATCCTGCTCCGTGGTGTTTACCCTCAGGTGAGCTACAGTGTAGTAACTCCCTGAACAGCCAGGAGGTGCATGGCCTGGAGCTTGGCAATTTAAAGCGAGTTTTTCATATGTTGCGACCTCCTTTAGCAAAGCAGACAGGTTAATCAGCAGAAAAACTAGAAGCAAGGCTCCTTCGTGAACCAACGGATCACAGCATGCCATAGCATGGCACTTGCACCTGGTCACATTCCCAGCATCAGGGTCTGGGAACCTCGACCGCATCAGCGAAAACTTGAGAAAGAACTTCGACTCTGAGAACACCACATCCGTGCATCGAGGATGACCTCTGATGGAAACTTCCTCAGCGCATGCGCGCACAAAAAATCTACTGGTTCAACTCGTTAAGCCTCAAACCTGCGAGTCAGGGCTTCGTTCAGCTCCTCGTCGCTTGCTCGGTAAGCCGCACCTCCACCTTGCAAGTCTCGCAATGTAGAGTGCATCACTGGCACTTACAGCTTAGATGACTTTGCTGTGTCTTCTTGAACGGAATGGCTTTCTAACATGACATATCGAAAGCGACAAGTGAATCACAACAAGCGAAGTTATCGCACCACGTACTTGCGATTGTCATGCTGTACTTAGCGCATATACCTATCAAGGCTGTGATGCATTCGCAGGCACTGCGAAAGAAATGACTTGCAAATGTTTGCTCAAGCACCACACGAGCCCTGGCAAAGAAACCCTTTCGACTGGACAATACATCACCGGGACAAAAGCTTCGACATACGGAGGATGGTCTCAAACTACCATGAACATGTACCGCGGAGAAGCTAGAAGTCCGTTTTATGTGGCCAGCGTGGCGGGGTAGTTAATTCCCCGGAATAAAAATATACTACTATACTGCTCTCGGAGGAGAGCCTTGGGGATCTTGTGGATGAGTCTATGGGGGAAAGGGGGTGGCACTACGACATATGTTGAGTTGAAGGCAGTGTGCGAACTTTCGTCCTGCTGTAGTATGGGCCCTTTCTGAGTGCCTGGGTGCTCGTAGCACTTGGAGCAAAGGTCTCCATCCAGGGTTTCCAGTCCGAACGTGGCCTCGATCAAGACACTGAGCGTCTTGGGCTGAAAGTTTTACATGCAGTATTCAACGGAGTGAAGCTGACATACTGTTCGGAGATCTCCGGAGTCCTGGGCGCCCCGCTAAGCCAATCCGACCGAGCGAACCACCACCTGCGGCGTCGGCATCGCTGATTTGGGCAACGGCCTCAGGTGTGATCAGGAGTCGACACTCTTTGACTCAATACAACACGTGTCAAAGGCCTGCTGTGGGAGAGCGCCTCCTGTCTGTGCAGCACCTGCATGATAACACGACATAACCTAGAATGGTGAAGTCCTCAGCCGCTCGCGGACCTCTTACAGATCCTAGCAGAATGCTTTTTGCTTCCTCTTCTGCGTGGCTGCGTCTGAAGGCTTGATGACCCAGTCACTGCACGTAGCCGCCCTCGTGTTGGGATAGATGTCTTCAGCCACACGTCCGCCCAAGACCTTCTCCGCTTCTCTGGGAAACCTTGTTGGTCACGGTCCTACGGCCAGCGCCATGTGCCGGCCAGCCGCATCCACCCTCGGTGCTCTCTGGGCTGGCCTGATTCTGGAGATGTTCTTGCTCGACATTCACGTTTGATGCTCCGTGCAGCCTCACAGCTTGATCCACGTCTCGCCATTATTCCACAAAATGGCAGCCTGCGCCTCCAGAGAAACGTCGCCAATGAAGCACTGACCGTTCATCTGTAGACTTACGAGATTTGGCCCTTCTTCTACCAAGAAGTGCACTGTGTCTCGCAGCTGGGATTGCGGATCGAAGAAGACCTCGGAGTTCCAGACGTGGCACAAGGGCCGCAAGGTGCTCTTCAAGAACCATCGTCCGTCCAAAGACTTCAGTAAGGTGGATTTTGATGGTGGTAACACTGGCAGTGCAGGCACAACATCGTCCACCACATCAAGAGGCACCAAAGACAGAGAGCCACCCGTTTCCACAACCCCTACCGGAACAAGGTTGAAGTTGCTTTCCTCCTCGTTCTCGCAGCAGCATCGGCAGGCCGGTACTGCTGGGACGCTGCCCATGGCTCGACGGTC